TACAGATACCATGCTAGGATAGTCCAAAGTTTCACCTGTTTCACACGGGCCTTGCACGCAGCAGATCACTTTTTGCAATGAAGCAGCACTTCACGGATTTAGGAGACACCCCGTTTTGGCACCTTTGTGTGCCGAAGGGTGCTGAGTTGACCTCCCTTCGGGGAGGTATGCCCTTTCGCACCCTTACCTGCAGGCTTTCGTCGTTTGCTATGGCCGCCACTGTTTGATCACCGACTGGTAACATGCCTCTGGACTTGTAAGTGCAACCAGTTGCATGGGTTGTGCTACAAGAAAGGTTTTTTCCACGGCATGCAGCATAGCTACCGCTACTCCATTTTGACATGGATGCAACCGGCGTTGGAGCATTGCGATACTCCTGACCTGCATCGTGACCATGGTTTTGCCGCACTGTGGTGTGGCCGCTGGTCACTAGTAATCATGAAGTAAAGTCCATTTGAAGCCTTTTTGGAGACTTTGCTAGAGCACAGACCTGCGCTGCTATGCTTTTCGTTCGAGAATTCAGGCCCATTGATAGTCATTAGTTTTCGTTTCACTTGTTTCACCTAGCACAGAGGAAAGACTACAAGATGGTGGAGACTCGGCCTGTGGGCTGTGGTTTGTTTGGTTTTGGGTGGTTTTGGTTGTCCTTGTTCTTTTCTCCACCATCTGACTGTTCTTCCCTTCCTTCAACGATGACCTGGGCACCATGCCCACACGGCGTCCGTACTCGTGGAAAAAAACAATAAACCTCGAGCGCTGCCTGAGGCGCATTCTGTGGAGCAGGCATTGAACAGCTCTGTCTGCCAGGTGACTTTCACAATATCGGGCCACGGGCCTGTGAAAACTGCAAAGGACTTGTGGAGGTCAACCTCACGTGCACAGAAATCACAGCCCTGCTCCACTCCACCTTTGCCCACTGCGTGGCTCTGAATTGTATATGGCTTCCGCCGCGACCAACGCAAATTGGCAAAGAAGTTTTCCTCAGTTGTGTTGCGCTCCAAGAAGTGGTCATCCCGACAGAACTCTGTGACATGGGCATCCGTGCTTTCTGCGCGTGTGAGCAACTGCAACGATTTACGCCCCTAGATTGGGGGGAGATTGAACAATCTGTGCAGGCAGAGCACAATGCTTTCTTTATGTGTGACAAATTTGAAAGACCACTGTGGGTGGAGCTGCTCCCCGCTGAAGGATCGGATTCGGATGCCTTTGACGAAGAGCTACATGATGAATTTTCCGAACATCCGGGCCAGTCCATGCGGGGTCACGGTGGGTGCCTTAGCATCTGTCTCTAGAAACATTCCCGGCTCTAGCAACAGTCAATGAGCAGATTGAGAAGCTTTTGGTTCAAACAGCAATGAAAGCAGTCTGCCACACATGGAGCTTGCCCGACTCATCCTTAGTACTCCCCCTGAAACGGAGCCGGTCATGGACTGCTCATTGGTGCTGACAACGCTCTCGGAGGTTACTATCAAGGTCTCTCAGTGTGGCAAGATTTGATCGATTTGAGGACCTAGAGGACCAGGTTTCTGGTCTCAGTAACTGACCTTAAAGTGTTTGGGTGCTCCATCGATTTTCTGCAAAGTGCCACGCAGACATACCTAGAGGATCGAATCTGGGACAAGCTACAGCAAAGCATGGAATAAGGATGCCCTATCTATCATGTTCCGCTTGCTGTTCATGTCCCCATGAACCCAGAGGAAATCGTCCCGGAAGGGGTCAGCGTTGAGTCAGGTATCAGGCTCATTGGAGCAGAGGCGTGGCAAAATTGTCGGCAGTTTCGCATTGTCAAACTGCCGGCCACTGTGGTAGGCATTTCCGACAACGTCTTTCACAACTGCAAACTACTAAACAGTGTCTCGGCTCTGGTTGCCGGGAATTTAGATGCAAAGTCTTTGCGGAATGCTGCTCCTCACAATGGGTGTATGCATCGGAAGGGGCTGCAAATTGGTTCAGCAGCGAAACCAAGCTCGGGCATCACCTCTTTCAAGGATGCATCAAGCTAGCTGAGTTTACCTTGTGTGAGCTCCCATCCCCCCGTGGGCCAACACTGCAGGACGTGAGCTGGCGCCAGGCTGTCTTAGCTCCACAGGAATCACCACACTTGCCCTCACGAAGGATTTTGCAACTATTGGAGCGCACCCGTGTGACAGTTGCAGACTGCTGAAGAGGGTTGACCTCTTCAACACCAACGTTGAAGAAATTCCGGAATTCACCTTTGTACACTGCACTAGCCTCAGAGAAGTTCTCCTTCCGCCCACTCTCCTACAATTCGGGTAAAGCCTTTATGAACTGTGCAGCCCTTGTTGAGCTTGCCATCCCGCCCTCGCTAAAATATATTGGAAGCAGGGCTTTCTTGGATTGTACTGCCCTTAAAAGGCTCGCCAAGATGCCAGGAAGACACAAATGGCGAGGAGTCTATGCCGAAGAAAATGCTTTTGCCATTTATCCGGATATGAGATGGCCACCCTGGCTACATATGATCCCGGACATGGGATATACCCCTGGTCTTGGATGAAGACACGTCCCTCTGACCACAGCTATCGCCGTCTCACCGTCACCCATCAAGAGTCTGGGCGCGCGCCTTAGCTCGAGTCCAGAGTAGGCCAGAAGTCACATCAAAGTACTTTTCACCTTACATAACTGGCTATAGTTGCCTTCCGTGAAACAGGGCTGTGGTTGGTTTTGTTTTGTTTGTTGTTGGGTTGTCTTTGTCCTTTTCTCCACCATCTGATTGTATTTCCCTTCCTTCAATGATGACCTGGGCACCATGCCCACACGGCGTCCGTACTCGTGGAAAAAAAAGGCTAATAGCATAACTGCGCTAGGCTGCACAGACTTCGGTTACAAGGCATTCGCCGACTGTTGTTCGTTACATGTTGTCCATGCCAATGGAGGAGTCAACGCCTTCAGTAGTGCAACCAAGATTGGCCACTATCTCTTTGACTCTTGCATCAACTTGGCTGCCATGACAATACTGCACTCCGTTGTCGAGCCGCAATCACTGACACCTGTCAGCGTCGAGAGCTCCTAGCGGGATGCTTTTGCTCCACAGGGTTAAACGATCTCCAGCTACCCCTTGACTTCTATAGGCTAGGAGCCCATGCCTGTGACAATTGCAAACTCCTCTCTCACGTTGACATTTCGGACACCACTATAACGGAGATTCGAGAGTTCACATTTGTGCACTGTATACGGCTCCAGGATGTCCGACTTCCGTATACAATCCACAATCCATCCGAAGGCTTCTATGAATTGTGCCGTGTTGAAGAACTAGCCATCCCACCTTCACTTCATTACATTGCCTGTAAGGCCTTTCTCGATTGTACAGTCTTGAGAAGGCTTACGAGAATGCCAAGCCAAAGAACTACGTGGAGAGGGACATATGCCGAAGAAACTGCTTTTGCACTTTGCCCCGCATGGCGATGGCCGCAGTGGCTGCACATGATCCCAGATGTAGGATGCGTGTCGGACTTGGCTTAAGTCCATAAGAGCCACAGCATAGATGTTACGTAGCAAGCGCACCACGCTAAAACAATTCGACTGCCCTCTCCAACCTAGGCAAAAGAGAGAAACGCCAACCTATGTCGTCGATGGCTAGAGCCAACATGCCCATAACTGTGCAATGCTAGTGAGCTGGCCCGGTTGAGAACCTTAGTTCTCGACTGGTGTCCGCACGCGACGGTAGGAAAGATAGTAGATTGGCGCCCAGGTGAGAACCTTAGTTCATCGCCTGGCGAGGGTCCGTACCCTGCCAATCTTGTACGAAGTGGGCAAATGACACCATGCTAGCCTTCCAAGTTTCACCATGTTTCACAAGGGCCTTGCACGAAGGAGGCGAGTTGACTGATGAATCGGAACGCTATCCTGCCAGGATAGTACTTTGCACATTCGCTGCGCTCCTGTAGGCTTAGCTGTTATGGAGTTTGCTTGTAATGTGCCCACCTGCTCCCTCTGTTGAGGGAGTGTCGTCAGGCGCCGGACGGCGCACCTGAAAGCAATGACTACCATAGGCATGCTGCCCACCATAGGCCGCAGCTCTTCCTGCTTTCGCAATTGCGTGAAACGATTGTGACCAGGGCAAAGCTGTTTTCCAAGGCCAGAACAACATTGCTCCAAGACCATTGAGCTCGACCTCTCGCACTCTGAGGGAACCTTTCCGGCGCAGCTCGCAGTAGGAAGCTGCCAGATTGCCATTTTGCTGTATTGCTTGAGCACTTGCGTCAGCAAGTGCCTGTGACCAGGCCTGTCCGCATACAGGCCGATCGCACAATACCACTTCACAGGTAAATGGACAGCAGCGTGAGATTGAATTCGAGGCCCAAGTAGCTATTAGCCACAGTTCCCTCTTCTCATTGTGTTTCACCATTGATGTACAGAGATGAAACTCTGTTGTTCTTGCCTGTTTTTCTTGCTGTTGTGTGGTTTTTGGGGTTTGGCTGTTTTGTTGCTTTCTTGTTTCGTGTTTCTGAATATGCGGAGTTTCAACCTTTAGCAAAGATGACCTGTGCACACCGCACACATGGCGTCTCCACTCGTGCAAAAAAAATGGTCTCCACCCATGCAAAAAAAAGAGTCCGGATGGACCAGGTTCACTTCACAACCGAAGGTGTCAACCGCGTAGACCGTGGGCAGAAAGTCCACTGGCGCCAGGCGGACCAGTCTCGGTGGCAAGGTCCACGCAAGCATCGGGATCGATGTGCGTCAGGAAAGGAAAGATGAAGATGCAGATGCAGATGCGGATGATGATGGTGATGATGATGATGATGACGACTATGATTATTTTTGTGGTTATGATTATGATGTTGATGATGATCACGATAGTCTGAGACTTGAAACTTGTAGTCGTTCTTCATGAACATGTCGTCCGTGGCAGTTGCAGAACAATTTTAAGGATGAGTGCCCCAATGTTCTTCCATCCTGACAAACGGTCTTACTGACCAGTCAAAAAATTGTAGGTGGAGGTGTGGTACGATACACAACCATGTTTGAAATGCGTCTGCAGTGGTTCGACTCAACTTTGTTCGCTGACATCAGCCAAGCTTTGTCAGGTGCTGCCCCATGTTGTTGATTTGCACATGTATTGATGGGATGTTCTTTGACAAGCCAGCGTGTGCCAGAGAGCCAGGTGTTCGCCACAGCGGGAACCCCTTGTACCACCATTCCGCCACTCATGGTGCACGCGGACGAGGAGAGCAGTTGTTTTCTTTATTGCTATCAAGAAAACTGAACATGAAGTTGCTCGTCAATCCCGAAGCGGGTAAGTAAAAACTGTTTTAAGTACTTTGGGAATGTTGCGCAAACTGGAATCTTGAATCGTTTGACTGTTCGCTCTTGGGTTATGTTGAAACCACCAAAGTCTTCTTTAAACATCGAACTGGAGTCTGTAGTTTCACATGTTTCATCTATCCTGGTGTTTGGTGATTGTTGTTCTGATAGTGGTCTTGTTCAGTCCTGACCACAAACGGTTGTGAGTTGCTTGTGGAAAGGCAGGGAAGATGTACAGCCCCTGTTTGGATGGCAATGTCGATGCACAGGGGTGTGGAGCTTGGTTTCCCCAAGAAAAACGTGTTCGGGCAACCTGAAAAGACCCTGCCCAAACGTTCGACGGGTTGGTTCGTTCTGAGATCGTTTTGAGAGAACGTCCCAACCCTGGGAGTTTTGTTTGCGACACCATTGCGAAGGTTAGTGTTTTGCTTGTGACATCAGGAAAACGGCTTCCTTTTTTTGCACTACCTTTTTGAAGTGAGCACTACCTTTTTCATGCATCTCCAAGGGCCGTTACGCCTGACCATTCCAGCAAAATGATTTTGCATCAGGACTGCCAGAGTGTGTGGGAGGTTTCAAACCAAAGCCAGCGGCTTTTGCATCTATGTTAATGAGGGGACCGTTGCTGTCAATCTGCGGGTACCAGAAATAGAATTTGCCATCGTGTTTGTTCTTGCACCACCCGTTTTGAGAGAGTTTACTCATTAGCAGATGCAATTTGATTTATTGCCAGAGTTGCCCTGAGTTCCATGGTTGCTCTTCACTTAAACACATGCGCCAATGTTGGCAAGATAGAAGGAGATAGACAATATGGCCAGGGTTGCAGATTGAGAAGGACTGCAGTGTTCATGTTTTATGCAGGCGAAGACAGAGAACACTTTGACGAAAGAAGGCAAGGTTTTTCATTTGTGCGAGAGTGGCATACAGACTCATACGTAGCATTTTCTGGCCCAACACTTCTTTCTTTCTTTCTTCCTTCCTTCCTTTCTTTCTTTCTTTCTTTCCTTTCTTTTTTACCGTAAGCAATGCACCTGCTGGTATTTGGATCTCCTTGTCCAACACAATAATAAATAAACAACGTAAGATGTTTTTGCTAAGACTGAATGCTTGACTCCAAGAGAGCTGGACGTGCATGTTTGTTGCTTGCCTGTCCTTCTTGCTTTGTACAATCTGTGACCCCCCAGAGTCCCTTGGACCAAACATGCTGCAAGCAACTCTGAAAGGTACAATTTTGTCACGAACATCATTTCGACTCCTTCACAAAGCAACCAGGTTGATGTTGCCGAGCAAACCACACCGTTCTGCTTGCCCCTTGCTGTGGGAAAACTCCTAAGCTGGCCTGAAGCTGGCTGAGGTGTGGTGAAACCAGCCGCTTGTGGCGCAGAGGCCATTGCAGAGGAACTTTGGAACGAGAGTGTTGCTGCCTCTGTGGGATGATGCTTCGATGTTGTTTGGCATGGGTGTGGGGTGCCATAGTGTGTGCAAGCATCTTCCAAGATGTATCATTTCGCAGGAGCAATTTGCAAAGCTGGCCAAGCACGTGCTGGTACATATTTAACCTGTTTCAACGATCTCAGCGCCCTTAAGGGTGGTGATCATGCCAAGAGTCCAAGTGCTCCTCCTTTTCCCTCGAAGTCAATTGTTTTTGAAGCGTTTTGCCGTTGAAGCCTTGCCAGGATGTGGTTGTTCCGGCGTTGAGCTGGTGTTTGCATTCACGAGAATGACAGAAGATATTCCATGGTTTTTCCGTTTCTGGCGTTTCGAACTCTCCTGCGCAGGTGAACTCAAAAGGAAGAACACCGATTGTCATTCTTCACCTGCGACATAATGCACACCTATTCCCCCACATGCTTTATAGATGATCTACCTAGAATTGCATGGATTCCTTTATAGAATTTACAGATTGTGAAGTCTCTAGGCAGATTCTCAGATTCCCAGTCGAAGCACCCTGCGAGGACGTGGATTTGGCCGTTCTTTCCCTGCTGAAGCGGCTACTTGATGCGCCTCTCAGCGAAGCTTCGCAGGAGCAGGGCCGGTAGGCCGAAGCAACCTGTGCAACCTGTGCGGGAGAGAAGACTCGAGAAGAGAAAATGCGTTGTTGTTCAGGAGTTTGACACACTCCGTGCTTCGGTTGCACCCGTTCGGGCGCTTGGCGCTTTGCTCCGATCGGAAGTGCTCCTCTCAAACACTCCATTTACAACAAGGAAAAGGTTTTCCGTCTTCCACTGCAACATGAAGCAAATTGAACAGGTCGAAGTGGGTGTTTTTCCCGAAAAGACGTCCGTCCCCTCGGGCCGGTGCGCGGAGACCGGACGCGGGGAGACCGCGCAGGAGTCGGCCCCCTCTTCGGTGCGCACGGACACGGACGAGACAGGCACCGGTGTAGGTTTTCCCCGTGGTCGATTGGGTTTCAGGTGTTGTCGGCGCGTGGAGCAAACAGTGAGATTATTGTTTCTCTCAACAAGTTCAACGGGAAATCTGACTCTTCCGTGGAACCTGATTGAGCAGCAAAAAGATACAAGAATCATCACAACGTCAAGGTTGTGCATCTTACAGGAGGGTCACTCTCAAGTTGGAGGTCACCAGTTGATGAGCAAAGATGAAACAAACACCAATGACCCATAGTGCTGCGGTTTTTCAGCGTTGGTGTCGAAGCCGGAGTGGAGGCTCATCCCAGGAGACCCAAGCACCAGAGTCTCCAGAGGCGCGGTGTCTTGGCCCATCTCACGATCACTCCTGGCTGCTAGGTGTTCTGGCCTGCCAGATGGCGGAGAGCAGTTCGGAGAGTTCGGAGTGCTTTGCGCCGTGGACCTGGTTTGTCTCATGTCAGCCCAAGCTAATGTGCTGGTTGCACATGATGCAAGGAATTATGCTGGTGGCGAATCAGACATGACTCGCATTTTGCGTGAGGTCCGGAACCACTGCCACCAACGGGCGAATGGAGGCGGACTGGACAGTGGATGAGTTCCACTTCCACAGTGTGTGAAGAGCTACATACTCCTCAACCCATGGATGCTGGATGCAGCACTAGACTATTCTGTTCGCTACAGGTTTTGACTTGTAGACACATTGTGGAAGATGTTTCTATTGGCTCTTGTACTTCCAGGGTGTGGAGCTATGTCTACGCAAGCTGAGGGTGTGGACATGTTTGGCCCGAAGACATCCTCGGATTTTTTCCCCTTGAAACGCGCCATGGCATCACGCCAACTCTACTTCGTCAATGAGCCACAGACCTACCGATGGTTGCGTCAGCCATCGGTGCCTAGCGAGCCATCGGTGCCTTTCTCACTTTTTGAACCCTTGGATCGTTTTGGGACCAGGTTCGGAAAGGATTTTTTTGTATAGCCAGATAGTCCTGAGTGACTCAAAAAGATGAAGTGGGATGGCCATGGCAGCCCAAGAGCCCCCTAGGTCCTAGGAAAGAGGTTGCCATGCTTGAAAAAAGGAAAATTGAAACAAAAGCGCAGCAATAGGGATGAGATGTTGCTTTGTAGTCATGGGCAAGTAGTTGTGGTGTGTCCACAGAAAGAATTGTGGCTCTCTGGATTCATCAGTCGTGTTTCAGAAGGGTGGTAACAAAATGCTTTAGACAATATATATATATATATACACATAGTATTTGTGTATGTGTATACTTATATATATGTGGTACGCCAGAATCCTGGAGTAACCTAAATTGATGACTGCCCAAGGTGAGTGTCTTCAATTGGACTTGGACCGCCATTATCTTCTTTGAAAGGGGCAGAATGACTCACATCCGCTACCAGGAGAAGAGCCAGCAGCGGTGCTGAGCTTAGCCTCGACAAGACATCTCCATGTGGCGGTTGATTGGATTTCGGTCATTTCAACCCACATGAAGGCAGTCGTGAAGAAACACCACCTGCATCAACTAACATCAAGGACAGATTGCACCAAAGGTTCTTGAGCATCTTGTCAATGAGCCCATCTAGCAGTCTGACTGCTAGCAGTCTTCCTGTGAGGTCTGGAGCAGCGGTCGACCCGTCCGCCTCGCAGCGGCAGGACCGGACGTCGTCCGTGCGGACGTCCTCCACCGGTCGGTGAGTCGCCGGACGTTGTCCTCGGACGTCGGAACCCTTAGGAGTCGCATCAGTCGGTGTGCAGATCGCTGCAGATCGCTGCAGTTCAGCACCTTCGTCATCCAAAGTTCGGCTTCTCTAAACACCCGAGCCTTCCATGAATTGCAACTCGCTTCCCTGAGGAGAGAAGGACGTCTGACGTCAGATTCATACAACATCTATTTGCGTCTATTTTGCACCAGGGAAGATTTTCTCTCCCGCGGTCACCGAGTTATTTGCTGGTCGTTGGGTGCTCTGGAGTCCTTTCAACGCGGTGGTTGTCGCGTGGATTGCAGCGAACTGGGTTTTGTGGTTTGCTGGTATTTTCTGTGGTCATGGTCTTTTCGACTGAGTCGGGGTGAGAAAGCAATGTTCAAAGTTGTCCGTTCGGTCGACTGGAAAGCGAGTGGCGAAAGGAACCGTAACTCCAGTGGATCCTAGACTGTCTTGGCTGCGGCGCAGGCGCAAGGCGCAGCCCCCCCCATACAGCCACTTGGAGCAACAGGAGATGCGACTCTTTGCAGGGCAGCTTGCAATGGCACTTTTGTGGCTAGCTGGATGGATCATTCGCAAGGGAATCAAGGCTTGAGTTACTTGAGTTATATAGCTAGGCAAGATGATAAGTGAAGACTTTGCAAGCAAGGGGCTTTGGACTCCTCTGTCCTGCGAAACTGTGCACCGAAGTCACTACTGCTTGTCCAACAGACCTGGTACACGTCAATGGGTGGTGTGGGAATTAGTTTATCAATAGGAGGCAATGACCGTTCTTTGGCTGCCATCATCATATTCCTTGGGTGACAGGGCCTTGTTCCAAGCTTCCTCGTTCCTCACGGTGATAGGCTAACGAAGCCTCTCAAATCCCACCGATGCCACCCAACTCAAACAGTCAAGTGCGACTCGGTGGAGCCTTCTTCCCAGGTGGCCCATCGAGGACCTCCGTCCTCTTCCAGAGTGGCAGGCGCAGCCGGTTCCGTGGATCGGTTTAAGTTTAAGCGCAGCGTGCGTTATCTCACCTTGTTCAAGTGAAAAGTGCAGTCTAGGTCTCTCGTGCAGTTGATTTGCCAACAAATCCCTTCTTTCGACCGAGAGACACATCTTACGAAACGCAGCCCAAAGAGGGCCAGGCTCTGATCTCCGGGCTTTGGGGATCGATTGGAGCAGGGGGGATCGATTCGGTGGAAGAAACCGCCGCTTGCAGCCTGACGTACGAAGATCGTAGGATATAAGCTTGAATCCAAAAGCTTCTGAGCTCTGAGGTGTGTTTTGTGGGTTGACATATTTATGCTATTTTGGTGTTTTTTTACTTTCGAAAGTGTTTGACCACCTCATTGAGGACCATTCTGCCACGCTAGATCTCGTTTGGGACATGTTTGCAAGAAGGCTTCTATCTTGAGACACTACAAGGAAAGGCAATCTGTGGTTCATGGGTTGAGGGCCTGGCGACCATGACTCGCGGTGCCGCATGTCGCACGGGCGAAACGGGGTGTTCCGGGCGCACGGTACCACACACCCTGAGCCACGTTGAGATGAGGTCGTCACCTCAAGCGCACCGTTTCGCGAACAGGTGCAACAACTCAATCAGGGCCCCGGACAGCAGGCGCAGCAGCAGCAACAGACGCAGGCTGTCGGGGGCGCTGGACCTTGAATCACAAAATGGTGGGCCAATCCAAATCAAGGGAAGCCCCAATTGATTCCAATGCGATTCTAAGTCAATCCAAATCAACTTTTCACTGATGTAGTTGTTTCATTTTGTTTCGATGGGCAAGTTGGCAGGAATATTTTTGGTTTGACCACCCTAAGGGTAAAGAAGGAGCCGGTCTGTTGGGGGAATGATTGTCTAAGCGTTTTGCAAATTAGTGCCAATGCAGCAATTGGAGGCCGCTGTTTGTATCCCATCAAGCAACCTGACTTGCCTCGAGCAAAAGTTAAACTAGAGCAAGGCAAGTGGAGTTTCAGGTGAAGAACCATAGTTAGTGACTTAGAGTCCTGATTCTGCCCTGCTACTGACCAACCAGCAGAAGCTTGCTGTCCCAGTATCCAGCTTCGTTGACATGTTATCGTGCTTGAACCTTTGGACTTTGGAGGGATACAATTTGGACTTTGGAGGGATACAATTTGATCTGGTATCCCTGTGGGCCATGTTTACACCTGATCAGGTTTAATAGCAGCCACCTTGTTGTGACATCTTCCATCACCTACTCCAATTCGCCATGACCCAATCCAATTAAGCGTTGTACAAATGAAGTTCGGGCCAAGTTTCCATGGCACTTCTGGTTTCTTTGTGCTTCAGAAATGGCTGCTTCACTGGTACGAAACATCATACACCCACGTCGCAAAGGCTCCGCAGGCTCCGCGATTTCCGACCTTGGCATCCTGGCACGAAGAAGAGGGTAGGAGAACAGGTGTGGGCAACGGAGGATTGTTCCTAGTAGCGATACCCTTGTAACTGGTAGCATCTTGCTACTAGTAGTAATGCCCTTGTTACTAGTAGCGATGCCCTTGTTACTAGTGCGAATGTGTATTATAGGTCTAGGTAAGAAGTGCAATAAACATTAGTTTCAGTGTATGGCGGGCGCTGCATGACCATAACTTGAGGGCCTTATTTGAGCTCGTGTAGGAAAACAACCCATGAATTGCGTAATGGGCTCCACGAAGGCATCTTCAGTATTGGAGCACATGGAAGAGCTTTGTATCCGCTTTAAAGCTGTCAGAAAGTGCTCCCAAAAGTGCCTTTAGACGAATATCCAAAATCAATGCTGACGCGCGGAGTGATTTGAAGAAAACAGAGTCTTGAGCCTTGAGCCACAATTGCATGGCGGTCATGTTTTTTTTGCGCCGTGATTTAACCACTGTCACTTTGGCGACCAAATGCTTCAAAGCTTAAAGTCGAAACTCAAAAACTTGTTGAACACCGTGTTGAGTACTTCATGGCGTTTCTACGCTCAGTGCAGTTTGTGGTGTGACGGAGCGAGGCCCAGGGCGAACAGTACTGCCGTTGCCACCAAGACGGCCGTCTCTGCGAAAGTAAAAGACCATGGGTCCTGTGCCATCACTATGCAGTGCTTGCCCAAGTCTTTTCGGAGTGACATGAAGGTGAGTCGAGAACTTCGGTTCATGTGAGGATTCTTTCCAGTGACCAAGCATGAGCGTCACTGATAGGTAGCGCATGACATTTTACCACTAGTCCTTGCACCTTAAAGCTCGTGATGCAGGATGGAACCTGCAATCGTGGCAGAGGCTGCGGCTTCTGCCACGAGGCGTCACATGCCCAGCTTGTGGAGGAGTGTCCGGAGAGTTCTTTCATGTTCAATGCTTTCCCCGGGCCTTCGGACGTTTCGGCACCACTCCGGAGCGTTTCGTCCAAGGCCTCGCCGCCACGGGCGTGGACGGGCTGCAAGCCGGCGAGGCGGGGGCGGGGGCGCAGAATGCGCCGGACGGTGGCGATGGCTGGCGGTCCAAACGCAGGGTCAACGGTGTCAGGCAACTTGTTGGGGACCAACAGCACTTGTTGGGGACTTCCAGGGTGGCCGAGGTGAGGAAGCGGAGATTCCAAGAGTTTCGCGTGGACAGGTTGGGGATGGAGGCTCCGTTCTGAACGAATCCTAGTATGCCTGTGGTTGTATGTGAGACTCTATGCTAAGGTACCATGTATCGGCATGTTGGTGGCTTTGTAGTAACCCGTTGAAAAGTGGCTGGTGAGATGTTTCTTTGTCTCAGCTGACCGTCCTGTTGTGTCAGCTGACCTATTTGTGTCAGCTATTTTTCTGATTGGTTTTGACCGGCGATTCTGGGCATGGCATTTTTGTTGAGCTCACTAAGCCGTTTTGGCGTCTGCGAACAGAGTGCTGGTGATTTGCTTTGCTTTTGGGTACATCCAGTGAAGGCTCTGCTATCCTGCTTTTCAAGCTGCCCTCTTGGGTGCCTCCGTGCCCCCCAATGGAACACTCAGAAAGGAAGTGGGGGACGTGCATCACTCGGGCAGCAGCATCTCGAAGAAAGCTCCAAAAGTCAAGGATCAGTTGAATGTACTTCCTACATGACTCTTTAAGCAAGCGCTTGATATGTTGTGCTATTTTGCCAGGAGCCAACGGCCTTCATGCAGAGTTGGAGGCGCCCCTTCCACCCTTCATCCGTGCTCCACCGCTTTGGGGACTCTGCACCGATCGGCCCAGGACTGAGCCGCTGGGCTGAGCGGTAAAGCTGAGTGCTCCATCAGATCAGAACATCCACAGCGTGTTTGGTCCGAAGTAGACCATTGAAGACCTCTTGGACCATTGAACCATTGAAGATCTCAGGTATATATTTCTTTTTAAACAACTGATCAAAGCATTACGGTGCTTCAAAAAACCCCATGGCGACTTTCTTGGGATGGGGGAACATCCGGTGTCCACTAGTCAAGCTGTGCCCAAGCTGGATTTTTGGTAAAAAACCGACTGGGCACTGTACCAAAAAGGTAAGGATCTCTGGTCCGCTTGCTCGTGGACCCCGGACCCATTTCTGTTCTCCGCTCCAACATGGGCTCAGCTTGGTCTTTTCTTGTTGTGAACGTGGCTCAGCACCTGCTCAACTTGGCTTCTGACCAGCAGGTGCGGATCAAAATCACATCGAGTCGTAGAATTGAGTGGCAACAGTTTGACGGTTTGCCAAGCTGGTTTTGCAAGCTGGCCATGGAAGTTAATGTCCTTTTAAGCTTTTTGAGCGCATCCAACATGGGTTGCCGGTTGAGCGCATTCGGAGCAGCTTCCTTCTCACCGGAAGAGAAAGACCTTGGTCCTTTACGGCTTTTCATGACCTTCCAACCGAGTTCTCAAAGGCGAATCTGGGCCATCGCGTTGCGAAAACACTTGCTGAGAAGCTAGCTGATGAGTCGAGAGGCTCTCCGGACGCTCGTGACATCTCGAGGAAGTTTCACGAGACTGAGCTGTTGAGAACAGAACTTGATCTCCGGCAATGTCAACTAGTTTGCTTTGTGGCATTTTGGTTTGCCTGAGTCAGGCCAGACCAAAAGAATGCAAGAGTTTTGCGCAACAGTTGATGTTTTGCAGTCAGATCCAACCTCAGTACCAGTCGATTGAGATTCTTTTCTGCTTGAGCCGATTGGAGCCGATTGGTTTGTCCAAGGGAATTTCTTTCCTCAAAGTTCCTTCGTACAATAGAAACCGTATGGTCCAGAATTGACATGGCATCTTTCTTGCAGCCACGCTGTCGACGGACCCTCGATGATTCTTCCGTTTCTTCTCCTTCCTGGCGACCAAAGAGACGGTGACCGAAGCGCTCCATGGAAGAAGCAAACAATTGTACAAAGAAACAGACACTTCCCAGTTGTCATGCGTTTTGATAGAGGCGGTTAAATTGCTGGCATGTAGAGTCTACGCGCTCAAAGAGCTAAACATCCGAGTCCTTTTCTTGGATGAACGTTTGAATAAGCTTGCGCCCACGCTCAAACAACTTCGATAAAGTCTTTGATTTCTACTAAGAACAGTTCCTTTGCCTGGTCGGCAATTTGGTCTTCACCGCCCAAGCAGAACATAAGGTCGGCAAGTGTGCATCAAAATTGAAGTATTTGAAGGCGCCCATGCTGAGCGCAAAACCCATGCGCCCGTATGCTGGCGACATTAACATATTCAGGTTGTGCCGACTGTCCGGACCCCTTCACTTCTCCAGATAGCGAGGAGTATTGAAGTATAGCGAGGGTGCTTGTGCGATGCCACAATGGCTATCTGGGGTCTACATAGAGTCTTGCTGGCATACTGTAACTTGTTCTGTACAAAACCGGTGAAAACCATGGTTTCCAGAACCAAGTCTGGGAAAAAAACTCGGTGTCTTCATTCTTCCTCTGGCCAACTGGTCCGGGCCGCAGCCGGGCTCTGAACAGTCCTCAAAGTGGTGACGATGAGAACGATCTGGCCGAGGGCTGAGTTGGTTCAATTCATGAAGCATTTCAGACTTTGTGGATGATTCAGTCAATTTCGCGCCATCCTTTGGCATCTTTCGCTCTTGCATTTTTGCTACCAGGCTCCTTGCTGCAGTCTGGAACTCAATTGCACGACGCGGAAGAACAAACAGCATGGTGGGACCACCAAATTATTTCAAGAAAGGGTTGATTGGGCCTGGATCAAGAACGATCAACAGGAATATCTCCTGGCATACATACGCATTCAATGGTCAACTGTCTTCGATCTTCGAATCTTTTGTACTTGGCAGATTCTCAAAAACACCGACTGGATGTTGCCGGGTCCACCTGGGTGGACGCTGAGAGCTACCACGCTTTCTTTCACTTCAGTGAAACTTCAGGATAGAAACAGGTGGGGGGTGAGAACTACGACTGGCCCATCCTTCCGCCCGTAAGAGCTTTTCGTTTTCGGTGGTGCTGTGTGATGGTGCTGTGACGTTTGAAGGAATTCACGTCGTCGAACATTTCTGCTGAACATCCAGTCTGGCCTTTGCGCACTTTCTCAGGTCCAGCAACTGCTGGTGTCCAGCGAGGAGCGACGCGCGCCGAAAAAAGAGAGTGTCTGCCAAGAGGTCGACGCCGAAGCTTCTCAGCTCCGAAGGGGATGCGGATCAAGATTCCGATCTAAAAAGGTATGTTGCTTGGGCTAATCGTGTCTTTGATCCTTTCAACTTCTGAATGTGACCCACAAAAACCAGGACCGACCTGGAGGGAAGGTTGGACCGACCTGGAAGGAAAAGAGCAGAAACATTTGGTCTCCCAGCACTTCCCGTTTCTTCACGCTTTCACCCCCCGACAAGGGATCGATGTGGGGAGACCGAGACGGTCGTGCCAGTTCCCAGTTTGCGAAGTCGGACCGGTGGACGACGAGGTAGGGATAGCTTCCGGTGGGTCTGGCCATTGGGTGCGGACCCATGTTGGTTTCATGTTGGTTTCGTCTATCACTCTAGTGATGTGGGACGTCCAGCCAGATGTGGTTTCTGGTGTGATTGGGACGTTTCGCAATGTGGCACCTTCGAATTCACGAGCTGCCGGCGTACAGGAGTCATGCGCAGAGGACTGGCTGTAGGCTGTTCGCGAAAGACGTGAATGTTTGTAGCTTGAAGGGTTTCAGTATTCCATGCTCATGTCGGTGCCCTCGAAGTACTCCTGAATGAAAAGAACTGGACAATATATGCACTCTTCGCCTCTGTAGTTGGTTGTGCTCTTGGCGTTTCAACCATGCATATTTTCACTTTTCTTTTTAATTTTTTCCTGACCCGGGGGAACTCAGACAAGATGGTGACTGGTCGCTTACAGAGTTGCTCCTGCAGAATTGTGAACTGGAATTCATCTACCTGTGCCATTTCTTCAGACTGACTTTCACCCTACGAGACAGCAGAGGGGTTCTGATCAACACATCCATCCTCATCTCCTCACCTTGGGGGGCAGCCGTTGGATGCCAACGTAGAGACGAGCGCCACGGATCGTCCGCCACGGTGCGGCCGCGAAGCGACCAGGAGCCGAGCGCCTGTGCCAGTGGCTTCGCCGAGCTTCTGGCTGAGGAGGCAGGAAGTCGACGGGGGTGAGGAAGGAGCTCAATGTCAAGAAAATGGAAGGTTTGGATAGGTTTGGTTGGTTGTCGGGCGTGAGAGGTGTCGTAGTTTCGATCACATGTTTCAAGGCGATTCACACCATATGTATATAGTATTGTTTTGGTTCACTTGGTGCTAGGGTCAAAGCAAATCACCACCTATGAGAAGCTCTTTTGTTGATCACTTGAAACAAGCTGTCCTGACATCATACCCCCAGAAATCCATTGCCAATCATGCTACTCGTATCCGGATTAGCCATCTTGTGCACGGCAACGGGTTTGGGATGGGGGGAAGCAGAGTCTTTCCGCTTAAAAAACGTGCTCACGCGCCGCCAACGGGCTTGAGGACGATGCGTCACTACACCTGCTGCAGAGAAGAGAACGGCAACGGGCGCAGGACGCCGTCGGATCCGAGGATCCTGGGAGCGTCGCACCGGCGGAATGACGGTGGAAGGACGTCGTGCGTCTCTGGGCGATCTTTGCTCCTCTGCCATAAGCAGGGGAAGAGCACGAGGAAGGAAGAGCACGGGGGAAGAGCACAGGCAGTTTTCGGGTTTCTACCATGCCTGGGGACTGCTTCGGGCCCTTTAGCGCCAGAGCTTCGGCCAGCGCCAGGAGTTTCGGCTCGCTCAGGCGTGGAGTGCACCACAAGCTGCAAGCCTTTGGGTTCACCCCGTAGGAGCAAAATACATTTGTTGAAAAAGAGGAACTTTGCCTTGAGGTGAGCATGTTTAGCCTTGATCTGATCTTCCGGTCATAGATCACCTTGTAAAGTACAAGTCCGAATTCGGATGGCCCAAGGCTTCAGCCAGTCTTCGAATGACCCGACTGATCAAGTCTCCGGGGTCCCCAACCCAGCGCACCTTTACGTCAGGCAGAAGCTGAGAAGAAGTCCTGGCCACCGCCTCCATTTGACTTTGAGGACACCCACATGCCATTCAAAATATAGGTGGAGGCCATCGAAAGTATATAGGTTGGAGGCCATCGCTACTAGTAACAAGAAGCCACAAAGGGCATTACTACTAGTAGCAAGGACGCCCACACATGGGACCATGGTGAGGATGAGGTTTTCGGCGCTTGGTGGTTGGGGGAGAAGGTCCACACCTGTATGAGGGTGTCGAATGATAGCCCCCTAGAGGTTAAGCGGGTGGGGGGCAATACTAGAGGTCCATGTGGTGGGATTCAGATCCATTTTGCCGCAAGTGCCATTTTTCGTCGGTGGCGCGGTGATGAAAGACAAGCACCCTGTTGGGACGAACAAAGGGCCGGGGAAAGAATTGTGACCACTGTCTGCCAACCAGGATGCCGGTGTGCGCTACAGTCTCTTGGCTGCAACGTGCCATGTTGTGCCGTCCAAGTCGACGGTCACAAGCGGGGCTGAGGCGCCTTTTTGGAGGATCATGAAGATACGCCTCCGCCACTGACGCCGCACCTGGGCTGTTTCGGTTTTGAGGAGCAACTGTTGTTTATTTTGTTTTCAAAGACTGAAGTGGGCTAGGAACCTACAAACCATCATCGAGTGTTATTGTGTTCTCCCCAACGAGTGCGCGTGCCTTCCAAAGACGGTAGAAGGAAAGCAGCCGCAGCCCTTAGGGCCAGGGCTGCTTCCCGCATCACGATTCTTCTTCTTTTTGGATTTCTCCAGGTCCGATAAGGATAGATCTGAGATGAGTATGCAGTATGCCTATAGAATCAAGCCGCAGCTCCGCTGGTGCCGGTCCTCCGGTCCGAGGATGGTCTTGCCGCCCACGTCGAAGCGGCGCAAGTCGCTGGATCTGCACTTCAACGCCGTCATCGCCAGCTGCGGATCGAAGCTCAGCGATCCCGCCAGGTGCAACAAGGCGGAGCCAACCCCGCGAGGGTCGTGAAGCGGAGCGACCTTCCCCACCGGTCCGGAGCAAACCCAGCGAGGTCGTGGTCCGGGTCGGGTTTTTGGGGTGACCCACAGTCCAGGACCCATGCGAAGACAAGAACGACCCACAGGTTGGACAGGTTTCCGTCTATGATTGGCTGCTCCGGCTCTGATCTTTCGGGGGATCCAAACCAGGGGATGAACACACCTTGTATAACTGCAGTCGTAGAGTCAGCTGCGTTGGGCGACTACTTTCGACCTGTTCGAAAGTTGGGGATTCATGTTGAGCCCACGTGTCAAAACATCGGGAACAAAACAAACAACAAACATCGGTGACACACATCGGTGTGGAAGTTTGTCCGGATCGAACAAGGGCCCACGAGAAGAAAGCGGGGGGGGCAGCCAGAAATACCGTCCGTTTCAGCCGAAGCACTGGGATATCCAACATCTGCTAAGATTCATCCAGCAAACCATCTTTGGCTGTCCCACGCACGAGTTGGGGCAGTCTTGGCACTAGGAAGGAATGGGTCTTGGCAGTGGGCGCAAGCGCAAGGCCACCCTGGTAGGGAGCGCTGCGTGCGTCCGGCGCTGCGACGGTCAGGCCGTGGTGAAATCAGCTGAGTCCGTCTTTGTACAGCTTCATGTCGAGGTCGGGGGAGAAAGTGGGTGGAGGTGGGTGGTGGTTCCTCGATTTATTGATAAAGGAAGTGAAAGCACCTGAAGGTGGCTTGTCGGTTTCTTGGTTCGTGGCGTTTTGACAGTTCTTTTTCGCTCTCGTTGGAACCTTCAGGCGCGCATGGACGAAAAGGTGCCTCCCTTGAGCAAGGAGGAGAGGCTTTCAGAGTAAGAGGAACGATGGAGAGTCGTAAGCCCAAAAACGAGTGGCGCACTTCATCTGCTGCTGCCAAAACGAAAGGGACCAAAACCGCACCGTCGCGGCATCGTTTGGCGCACCGGAGATTTGTCCAGAACTTCCCCTTGCCACCTCGCCACCTCGTGTCGGCCGTCCACGCGTCAACGTCACTCACGCGTTTTGACGACGCGGCCGCCAGGAGACCTCGGAGTTTCGTGATCGCTTCAAAGAGTTGGTCGTTGGGGACTCCAAGCGTTGCTCGGCGAGGGGGGAAGAAGGCCACGAGCCGCCTCGTTTCCGCCGTGCGGTGGACACAGTGGACGCGAGGTGGATGGGTTTGAAGAGGTACCAGCAGAGGAAATTCTTTGCGCATGGAAACGCCCATTGTGCAGTGTTCCAGATGTGAGTTTCACCATTTAATGACAGAAGGATGTTGGGTTTTTGCCTCTGAGGGGACACGGGGTGTGGTAGTTCCACCGATTGCATCTGACGCTCCCTGAACTCATGGAAGTGACTGGAAGTGCAGTTCACCACCTGTTTGGTCTTCGGAACCATCGGGAACCTCCTGTCGTCATTCTTCCTCGGGACTCCTCACTTCCATCCGCGTTGGCCCATGGATGAGTTTTCAACCAGCGGTACCCTATACAAAGAAGGAGCTCGATGCATGTCGCTTCGGCTTCGCTTCGGCTTCGCTTCGGGTTCGGCTTCGCAGAAGCGAGTCGATGCTCGAGTCGACCCGCGCGTGCGAAGGCCACGCGGCGTGGCGTTCGAAGCTCAGGAGTGGTCACCAAGAAGAGCCGTTCTGAGCAGTACTCCGGCTGGAAGAATCTGGTTCAGAGTGGCTACATGGCCATGAGACCAGTGGTGCCGGAATCTCTGGCCAAGACGGTGAACAAGATGAGCAGCAGTGGAGAAACCTGGCAGAAGGACGTAATGTAGATCGGTGGACTATTGATGATATTGCAGCCCCCCCGTATAAAGAGGTCTTGAAATTCATAAAGAGGTCTTGAAATTCAAGAAAGGTCTTTTGGTTCTGTGGGAGACAAACCATGCACCTCATGAGCATTTTCGCTTTTCGATCGAGCATTTCGATTCGAGCTGTGTTGATGAACTTCGCCAACCAAACGGTTTGGCTCAAGCTGAGCAGGTGGAAAAGACCGCTTGCTTTGCACACCCCAACCTCCTTAGGTTATGAGCCCAAGGTGCTAGGTGTTTTCGAAGTCCACCCACTGCTGCTGAGCGAGCACAGTGGTTGTTGGCCGCGATGGCCACCCTCCAGCGCCGGCGCCGACAGGGCTCACGAGAGCCAGCTGCTGCCGCCGAAGCGCCGGAGCCTCGACGTGCACCTCGAGAAGATCGAAGAAGGCCACCGCCTGAAGAAACAGCAGATCAAAAGTTGGACCGGTTGCTCAAGGAGCAACGAGCAGCTCGGGCCTCGTCACTACCTGCAGAAGATGATCTTGCTGTCCGGCGCCTGGCTATGCACCCTACGGCTGAGGGAAATGAATCTCAAGGAAGAAGAAGAGAGGGAAGTTTGGCACCTCAACCTGGACATCATGGAGGGCATCACGATGCATCAGCTGGCCAGCTGGCCGGGGCTGGAGGCCTCATGAGTGCCTTGCATGATCCTCGAACTAACGCCTTGGGTCTGGGCGGATTGCAAGAAGCAGCACGCCAGTCGTTCGAGTTGTTGCAACAGGCTTTAGGCCACCATGTGCCACCTTCGCCGGCTCCGGGACTTTTAGATCCCCTTCTTCGAGGTTCTGAACTACCTCAAGGACCAGGTTCGGGATTACCTCATCCACCAGGAGGCGGATTCTTTGGTGGGCAAGGTTCTTTGGCTGGAACTCCACATCAACCTGGAGCTCCACACGGTGATCCAAGAATGGGCACGCCTGCAAGCACAAGGCAGGTAGAGCGGGAGGAGGTGAAACCCAGGGTGCTTGAACCATTTCGCACGCCACAGGGCCCCCTTGCCACTGTGAACCCTTTCTGGACCACTTCAATTCAACAAGCTGCACGAGGTGAAGGTCATGTGAGAATGGCGGAAAGTGCAGGTGCTCGGGCTACCAACGGAAGTCCAGGACCTGGGGATGTTGAGAAACTTCGTACCCAGATCCTCAAAGAGGCGGAGGAAAAGTTCGCTCGTGAAGTCAAACGCATAACTGATGGAGCAGGTGGTGGTGATGCATCGTCGTATGCCTCCGTTGCCAGTGGTGGAGTTGATGGTCGTGGAACTACAACACATCCTGGACTACCACATGGTGATCCCTCAGGTGCAGGTGGACCTCCCGGGTCAGGACCGGATCCTCCCCCAGGCCTTCATGGTGGACAACCTCATGGGGATGCTCGAACTCCGCTGGCTCCGGTCGTTCCAGAGACCGTCAGGGCTTTGGATCTTCCTGCCCTTCCACTACCTTCATCCGAAGGCGCGGCATTGCAGTTTGGGGATTGGCTGACTGTGGCCTATCCGTTGATGGCGGATTTGTCCTCTACCTCACAGTTTTGGTGGGATGGATGCCTTTCTGCCGCCCGTGAACTTTATGAACAGTGGCTGGTGGCCACACCCTTGGAAAGGTTGCGCCTGCGGCCAAAAGATGTCACTGTGGACCCCTTGTACCAGAGAGTGGAGCAGCGGGGAGTGTCATTGCTGCTGGGCATCCTGCCCGAACAACTGAGAAGAGATGTCATCTCCTCTCGCCACGTTGCAACTGTGAGCATCCTGTTCAAGTTGTTTGTAGTGTTTCAACCTGGAGGAGGAGCTGAACGCACAACGCTTCTCAAAAGCCTCACCGAAGTGAAGGTGGGTCACTCCGTCACGGAGCTCCTGGCCACTATGCGGCAATGGCGCCGATGGTTGCAGCGAGCTGAAGAACTTAAGGTCACGCTGCCAGACCCGCTGATCCTCATGAATGTCCTTGGCAAGATCATGGACTCGTTGGCCAAGCTGGGAGGCAGTCAAGTGGCGTACAGAGTCTCAACTGTGCGCCAGGAATTGTTGGTTGATCAACGTCCGGAGATGAACTCCATCAAGGACCTCAGCGAGTACCTGCAGGCGGAGCTGGAAGAGCTGGCTTTGGTTGCTGCAGTCCCCAAGGGTGCCGCCAACACGACGAGCTCGCCCACTACCAATGAAAAGACTCCGGTGGTGAAGGCGACGCAGTCCGGCACTCAAGAAGAAAAACCTCGGTCTCCATGCAAGTTTTGGGGGACCCACATGGCTGTAAACGAGGAGACACTTGTGGCTATGGGCATAGCTGGGAGGGCTTGGACCGACAGGTGCTTCTACTGTTCGGGGGAGGGTCACATGGCGAAGGACTGTGTGCACCGACAGCCCAAGAACTTCAAGGATGTAAGAAAGGCAGCTCGCTTGCGAGGAGTTGCACCCGAGGGTTCAAAAGAAAGCCCGACCAAAGAAAAGGAGGTGGAAGTGGGAAGTCCTGGGTCTACATCGACTTCGAGCCCATCGCCCTTGTCGCCGACGACGGTGTCTGGAGGGGGATTGAAGGATTCGGGAGGTGGTTCTCCAGCCAAAACGCTGGAGGAAAAGCCCAAGAATGACATCGCCACAGACCTCATCCAAGAAGCTGCAACGCTGCTCAAGACGCTTCGGTCCGTGAAGACGATGCGCATCAAGCAGATTAGTGCTCACCCTCAGGAGTTTGGAACTCAGGGGTTTGCCCTTTTGGACGGTGGGGCCACCCATGCCCTACGTGTTGCTCACTTTTTCCAGTTGAAGTGGAGCTGGCACAAGGCTCAACAGTTTTGTATCGCCACCCCAAGCATCGCACCTTGTTGTCCCTGACGGAAGTTGAGCCGATCATCCCTCTGGGCCTCTTGGTTGAGCGCGGCTTCAAGGTGGAATGGCGACGTTCAGGATGTAGCATCCACCACCCGACTCTGGGACCAATCCCTTGTTGGCTGAGGAATGGATGCCCATCATGCATCGACAGCCTGCGCTGGACATGTTGGCGCAGTTTGAGATGGAGGATCAGGGGGAGGTGGCTCTCTCTGATGAGGATCGAAGTTGGTGGCAGAAGCATTTTCCTGAACTACCACTTCCAGTTCTCCAGCACATGGCTGGTCAAAGTCAAGAATCTACAGCTCCGCCCTGGAATCGAAGGTTGCGACGGGCCCATATGACTGGAAAGGGTGTCATTGTTCACCTTTTCAGTGGATCTGATGCGAAGAAATGGAATGATGTTGGTGGAGGCCGCTACTCATGGCTGTGCATCGACACTGAGATCAATGCAGCCCTGAACCTCCACAACCCTTCAGTTTGGAGTTACTTGTGGAAGCTGGCATCACTTGGCCGCATTGTTGCCATCATTGGAGGTCCTCCATGCAGAACTGTAAGCCGCCTTCGAAATAAGGCTCCTGGCCCTCGACGACTACGTGGCCGAGGAGAAGATCGTTGGTGCCTTCCTGATTTGGACGATGATGAGCAGCGCTTGGCCCACGGCGACACTGCACTTTGCATGAAGCACATAGGTCTTTGGCTACGTGCTCAAGAATGCCGTCGTGTTCCCACGGATGTTGGAATGTTGCTGGAATCTCCACGTGACCCAGCTGAATACTTGAGTGATCAAGAAGGAGCTCAAAGCGCATCTTTTTGGTGCTTCCCGGAAATCACGGCCTGGGTTGGAACTGCAGGACTTCGTCGGGTCACCTTCGACCAAGGACGGTTGGGTCATCAGCGAAAGAAGCCCACGACGGTCCTCACCAACCTCCCGGCCTTCGAAGAACTACATGGTCTCCAGGGTGAAGGTTGTGATGATGGTCCACTACCCACCAAGCTGGCAGATCGCATTCGCACTTCAAAGTCTTGGGCCGCTTGGGCGCCAGGACTTGTGGCTGCTATCAAGGAATCGCTGCGGAGGTTGCTTGGCGTTTTGGAGGAGGAAAGTCGAAGTGGTGACACCCACAACATGTCCAAAATGGACCTTGCAGCCTGGCACCGACACATCAAACAGGGGCACATTCCCTTTCGTGCTGACTGCCGAATCTGTGGTGAAGCGATGGGCTGTGATAAGCCTCACAGAAGACTTGGGGGGAGTGCAACGAAGTTCACTATGTCAGCGGATCTATGTGGACCCTTCCCTGCTGGTCGTGACCTCGGCACTGGAGTGACCTGTAAGTATGCACTGATCTCCACTGTGGCCGTGCCCATCGTCTCAGAGCTTCCAGGCGAGGTTGCCGAGCCCTATGACACTGCAGACGACGTCAAGCACACTGAGGACCTGCCTTGTGATCCTGAAGAGCGAGAGATGCTCTCTGATGATGAAGTTCAGCGGCTCAATGAGTTGGCCCAGATTGAAGAGGCCCAAGAAGCTCCTGGACACCAAAATATCACGTTTGCTGAGGTGATCCCAGACAGAACTGTGGAGTCTTTGGTCCGTGCCCTTTCTCGACTACATGCCAAGTACCGCATGCTGGGCATCCAAGTGTACCGCCTCCACACAGATCGAGAACGATCTTTTGCCTCAGTCCCAATTCAAAAATGGTGTGAACAACGTCAACTTCGATTGACTCTGACTGCAGGCGATGACTCGAAGGCCAATGGCCGCATTGAGGGAGAAGTTAACCAGATCAAGCGTCGAACTCGACTTCTTCTACATGATTCTGGACTACCTCAATCCCTCTGGCCAACAGCCCTACGCCATGCTGCAGAAGGCCGTGTGCGCCTACAACTTGAAAGATTGGGCCTGCCGAGCCCACCAATGCTTCGCTATGGAGCTTCAGTTTTGGTCAAGTCCAAACGATGGCATCGTGCTGGACAACTCTCCATGCCCTACCGCACCATGCAGCTCTTGGGACCATGTCCATACATGTCTCATGGGTGGATTGCCCGCGACAAGAAGGGGCAGCTGCTGCATGTGAGGACGGCTTTGGAACCTTCGCCGGTGGCTGACCAGGCGATCATGGATTTGCAGGAGGTGCCATCAATCAAGCACCGCATTGTGGGGAAACATCCACCACCTCTACCTGACCATCCTCTTTGGAGCCGTGGGTGCCTTGTATGATAAGTCTGACCCAGCTCTTGCTGCATGCCGAGCTGGGGGGGAGGATCCTTTGCCCTTTTTGGATGAGGTTGGCTGCTCCTTGGCACTTCAAGTTGAGGATGAAGGGGAGTCGGAGGAGGTTGTTGGAGGCTCTACGCCCAAGACTCATGATCAAGGTGATCAATGTCAACACCCTGACCTTCCGGGGGAGCTGGAAGATCCTATGTGCTGCTCACGACAACAGGCAGAGCAGTGGCATGAACTTGAACAACAACGTCACTGGGCTTTGAAGCAGCTCTGGTGTCAAGGTCTTCGAGAAGTTGCAGTTGGTGAAGACGCTGGAAGCGTTCATGGCAGCTGGCTTCGTGAAGTTGAATTGCTGCTCCGAGGTGCTGAAGATCAATTGTCGTTTCAGCATTCCTCCTTGCAGAACTACAAGATGGCTTCTCTGGCTCCAATGGCTGGTTCAACTGAGGTCCCAGTCACGGCGCTCCAGACCTACACGGTCTCACTACAGCAGGTCCGCAAGGAGTTGGAAAAATGGAAGCCTCCCTTGCGCGATGAATATGGTCAACTGGTCTCATCGACCCAGGCCATCAAGCCAACTACTGAAGAAAAGTTGCGCCTTGATCCAAGGTTCCCAACTATGGAACTCGCTCCAGCTATGCTTGTTCCCACGGTCAAGAGTCCTCATGGACGTCTTAGAGCGCGGGTGGTAATCTGTGGCAACCACCTCACCAAGGTCAACGAGGACCAGGACAACTCAGCAGGTGAAATGAAGTCAAAAGATCAAGCTCCATATTCGCTATATGCAGGAGGAGCAGATGGAACCACACTGCGTTGCTTGATGAGGTGCGCAGCTCAAAGATCCTGGTCAATTGGCACGGTGGACATCAAGACAGCGTTCTTGTTAGCACCACGGCCGGACGAACGTGAACGTTTGCTCGTTGCTCGCCCTCCGAGGATGCTCGTCGAAGCTGGAATATGTCCTCCAACCGAACTTTGGGAGATATCCCACGCTGTCTACGGGTTGAACGATGCCCCGGCAAATTGGTCGCACTATCGCGACAGAGAACTTCCTCAGCTACGCTTCAAGGCTGAAGGTCACGAGTACCAATTGGTCACCACGCCCGAGCCTAACCTCTGGAAGCTTGTCAAGGCCCAGCCCAATAGCATCCCTGACAAGGACACTTCGGAAGGCTTCTTGGCAGTGTACGTTGATGATATGCTGGTTGCTGCTCCACGTCCACTGGCTCAGGCAGTGATTGATGGAATCAGGGCTCGTTGGCGCTGTTCAGAACCGGAGTGGGCATCGTCAGAAAAGTCCCTTAAGTTTTGCGGCTTCGAGATCAAGTGCCGCCCAGGTGAGGTCATCCTGAACCAGACCTCCTACACTCGAGATCTCCTTGCACGCCACGAAGGCATCAAGTCGAGACAAACTCCTTTGCCCCTTGGCGTACAAGATGAACTGGAGGAAAACATCTCCATTGAACAGGTCCGCAAAGCCCAGGCTCTCGTTGGTGAATTGCTCTGGCTCAGCGGGCGAACCAGGCCTGACCTCAGCTATGGAGTCTCCATCATGGGCCGCTTGGTGACGAAAGCTCCGGGAAAAGTTTTGGAATGGGGGGCTCACATGCTTGGATATTTGCACTCCACCGTGGACTATGAGCTGTGTTACACCCAACAGGTGTTTGAGGCTCCATCCATCGAGTCCGAGGCGACCAAGCTCCCCAGTGTTCGGGTTTTTTCGGATGCTTCTCACGGTCCCCAAGGTGGAAGAGGTCAACAGGGGTTGCTGGTCACTTACAATGGAGCCCCGGTTCAATGGGAAAGTCGGCAGCAGCCGTTCGCCACCCTCTCCAGCGCTGAATCGGAGCTGATGGGCTATGTTGATGGAGTGGTGATGGGCGAGTCGGTGGCGGCCATTGTGAATGTTTTGGAAGACCACAAGCTGCACCTCGAAGGAGAGCAGGTCCTTTGCGGTGATTCGCAAACTGGGCTGAAGATTTTGGTTGCGCCTGATGGACCATGGCGTACGAGGCATTTGAGGCTAAGGGCCTATGTCGTCAAGGAGCGCATCCAGCAGCAGTGTTGGCGCGCCTTGCATGTTCCTGGCACTGAACTGCCATCGGATTTGCTGACGAAGCCGATCGTCAACCCGGCTTCATGGCAGAAGTTTTTCCACTTTTTGGGAGCACGTGTGTCTTCAGGGATTGGGCAGAAAGATGAACACCAGTCAGTTTGTTCTAGGCTCCAGGCGGTTGTAGCTGGAATATTAGGAATGGCTGTTTGGAATCCAATCCATGAAGCACACAAGATTGCACGCTGTTTGACCATCACAGCACTTGTAGCATACCTGGCCTCGAAAGCACAGGACCTCAAGAAGATCATTGGACACCTTCCGGCGGAATCCCAGGCTGAGGCGCCACGGGGACGGGATTCGGTCGAAAAAAGATCGGTGAGGGAAGATGAACCCACCGCACTAGGAGGGGAAGAGAACACAAGATCGGTGAGGGAAGATGAACCCACCGCTGGGCTGGGGGGACGGGCGGGCGACATTAGCCTAAAAGGCTCCCGTGCGGCCGCGTTCGAACCTCGCAGCCATGGATGTGGTGTGCGCCTTGCTGCCATGCGCGCTGAGCCCAGCACTGAGTCCGGTACATGGACGGTGGCTGGACCTCATGAATGGCCGCAGTTCCGACTTCCTCCTCAAGGACGAGATCGGTGGGGGCGGCTGCGCGATGGCTGGTGGGTTCGACATCACGTCAAACCAAGAAAAAGGCCATTCCATCCTGTACATCGGCAGACGCCATTCGACGCGGCTCAAATTCGCAGTGGACGGGTTACTGTGGTGTGGCTGCATGGCGAGAAGTCGGTGGTGGAGGATGACTGGCGCAGTGGCACCAGGCCTATGGTTCCGACAGAGGAGCAGTGGGTGGGCTACAGTTTTTTCCGTGACAACCCACCTCAGCCTCCGCTGCCTGAACATGCCACCTTGGATTCACAAACGAGCTCTTCAACCCCTGCTGGCCAGATGACGGGAAGCTCCTCGACACCGACGCCACCTGGACAGTCGCTTTCGACCTCGCAGGTCGGTGCGTCATCGGGGCCTCCGCCGGTTCGACCAGAAGATGAGCTGCTGAGAGGGATCCGGAGGGTTCGAAGAGGCTCAACAGATAGCTCTACAGGGACACCAACAAGCACCTTGTCCTCGACGATGACGGCATCGACTCGCGGCATGGATGCTATGGAAGCACCTCTCACTCTCGGCTACCTTGGCCGGATGAGGGGACAGGAGAATCGAGGAGAGGCCTGCGCCAGCCAACATGCAGGTTCCTCTTGAGGAAGAGCGGTCGGATTGGATCCTCTCGCTCCACTCCGAAGGTTTGCTGCTTGCCCGGCATCCCAATTTTCCGGATGAAGCGACGCCTCAATGGTTGGGCATACAAATGCCTGTGGCTCGGAGCTCGCGCCCTGCCGGCGCTGGACGACCAAGGGACGCCTCCAGGCCCGCGGCTCGAAGTGAGGGCACCAGGCCCGCTGCCCGAAGTAGCCAGGGTCCCATGCCCATCAACGAGGAGTGGGATTCTGATGGAAGCTATGAGCTTCTAGAGAACTGAATGGCTGACCGAAAGGTCTTTTGGCCATAGGAATGCAGTGACGCACTGCAGGGGGAGTGTGGGAGACAAACCATGCACCTCATGAGCATTTTCGCTTTTCGATCGAGCTTTTCGATTCGAGCTGTGTTGATGAACTTCGCCAACCAAACGGTTTGGCTCAAGCTGAGCAGGTGGAAAAGACCGCTTGCTTTGCACACCCCAACCTCCTTAGGTTCAAAAGAAGCAAGAGCTTAATGTAGACTCTTGATTTATAAACTCCCCATATGAATAGGATCTCCAAATCAAACGGGGGTTTATTAATCAAGAGTCTACATTACATTACATTATCATTATGTATGCTGTAAGGTCTGTGGATCTGACAGACAGTCACTGTGCTTGCTTGCTGTGGGTCGGACTGTGATCGAACACGAATTAGCTTTCAGACCTTGACCTTCCTGCATAGACGACATCGTTAGATGAAGCACACGAAACATAGAGGGACCACTGGTGACATACTCCATGCTCCGGCTCCAACCCCCTTCTTTCAGTTTCTTTCGCAGTAGGTTGGAGGCCATCGCTCTTAGGTTGGAGGCCAGCGCGGCCAGAGGTTGGAGGCCATTGCTCTTAGAAAAAGCAACAAAGACACGTGGACGATGTCCCGTCGATCTCGCCGACTCTTGCTGAACGTGTGGTGCCGCGCCGCCGACGTCGCCCTCTGACCGTCTGCCGGCCAAAGGAATCGACCTGGACCGCCGCCTACGATTCCTCCTTCGTGAAGGTCTCTGTGGCCAAGGGCAAGAGCAAGTTTCTGGGCGAGAAGAAAAGACACCAAGACGGACGGACTCTGGGCCACGAAACGGCCAGCCGCCTTGCTGCGTCCACTCGAAACAGCCAAGATTTGGAGGCAGTTCCCAGTCTCTTAGACATCCCACTGGCGTCTGGGTCAACTTGTCTGGCCGGCGTCTCAATCTGCAAAACGAACTCCACTCGGTAGGTCACCAAAATCACCAGTGGAGACCTGCAGTGTTCCAAATGGCTGGATGTGTGCAGGTTCGTGACAAAAACCGGAATCGCGCTCGTGGAAGATAAATGTCGCATTGGGCGGACTTTGAGGAAGAAAAGTCTTTCAATTCGTTGGATTTGCAGGGTGATAAGCTATGACACTCAACTACGCAGCGGACTTAGGTGAAGCGTTTTTTGGGCCACCAGAGATGGACGGTGACCAATCCTGGATCCTGGTAACAGCGGCCTTTGGGAGAATCATCCGACCAAAACGGCTGAACAGGTTGTTCAAAGCTGCTCAGTCTTGCCATAGGACTTCTTGTCTCCTGCTAATTGTTTCCCTGCTTCTCCTCTATTTGCTGCTGCTGAAGTAGCTCCTTTGACTCGCAGCTTTCGGATCAGAAGCTGAGATGCCATGGCTCGCCTACCTCGCCCCATCAGCTTGGGAGTGTTGGTCCTCTTTGCCGCCGTGGCACGGCGCAAAGATGCCGCTTTCAGCACTCCCTCGTTGAAGCCGCGCCGCTTGGCCGGCTTTGGCCACCCAGAGCTGCTGAGAGGATCGAGCCACACACGTGACATGAGACCAATGAGAACTCGAGCTGTGGAAAGTCACAGTGACGCATCGATGTCACAGTGGCAAAAGGCTTGGAAAGCGATCTTGTCGCTCTTCGGTGGGGTCACCTTTGGGGTTGGGATCTACTTGCTCTTCTTCAAAGCCACATCGAGCATTACTTCGATGGTCTCTGGATCACCAGAGTTGGAAATCGCATCCTTTGTGCTCTTGAGCTTGATCCCTTTGATTTTGGTGCAGCAAGGCGCGGTGGAGGTGGGGGTGGTGGAACCCATGCAGACCTTAGCATCCTGCATGCCCACGCGTGGCCTTAAGCACATCATCCAGAGCGCGATTCCTGGGACAAGGAATGTGATGGAGACCCGCCTTGCGCAAAGAAGTTGTCTGGTTTCGGTTTTGGAGACATCTTTGTACAAAAGAAAAGGATTTTTTTTCAATCAAATTGTATCATTCGATCCAATTGGCGCTTACCAATGCGAAAGGGTCCTTTTACAATTTTCTTTCTCCACCCAAAAGTTCGAGGAACATCAATCTTTTTGAACGGATGCTTATTCTCCCAATTTCCCAGTTTTGGGTCAGAACTTTGATGCTTTTGTTTGGCCATTCGATGCTTTGAGCTGCAGCCGTTTTGGTCCAACCCCGGTCGTTTTCCGCGAAGGTGGGCGTGCTGCTCTTCTTCTCGGTGAACCTACTGGCCTCTGCGGCGCCGGAGAAGGCACAGCTGGCGTTGCCGGAGAAGTTCGCGGCATTGGACCCGGATGGGAAGCTTAGAAGCATGGAGAAGACTCGGAAGGAGGGTTTGAAGGGTTTTGAAGCTTTGGATGGGTTTTGGATGGGTTTTGAAGGGTTTTGGATGGGTTTTGAGGTCTCTAACATTCTCTAACCATGTTTTTTTTGGGCCAGCAGTTCTGAAAGGTTCTGAAGGGTCCGTCCTGAGGGCCCGTCCTGAGCTTACCTCTTTTTCGTTCTTCAGGGCTGTTTCGGTCGGACATCATTTTCGGTTCTGACCTCTTTTCGGTTCGGGGACGGTGTCGCAAGCATTCTCCACTCCGCTCATGAAACATCCAAACGCACAAAACCTGGGATTGCTAGAGGGTTCCATTGGTTGAGTTGTTGACCATTTGGACGCATGGTTTACCCAACTCAGCACACATGGACGTGGACGTCATCCTTGTTGGACGCATGAGGATTTCATGGTCTTTTCGGGCCATGCCGGTCCACTTCCATGATTCTTGGATTGTTGGAGGGAGGGTTAAACCGTCGTTTACATGCAAAGAAGCTTGCCAAACACTGTACACACATGTGTGTCTTACATGGTGTTTAACAAATCCCCACACTGTGGTGGACACACATTCGGGGTTCTTACTACTACACCTCACACAACCTCACACAATTCCTCATGCAAAACCTCACACAAAACCTCACACTGTTTGGGGTCTCTTACATGGTGTTGATATTTCTTTCAACATCTGCCATGCCATGCCACGTGAGTGGAACCGGACCTCGGGAGCGAAGCGAGGAACGGTGTGTTGACCGGCCCGGAGTTTGAATCGGAGGTGAGGAAGTTCACCGTGAAGGCGAGGTGGCATCGGAAACCCCCGGGGAAGGCATAGGAAACAGCTAGGAGATGTGGACTCTGGACCTAATCTAGTGAAGGCATCTAACTTCGATTCTGGAGGGCCGGAGGGGGAAGGGTGACCAGGAAGAAGAAGCTCCTTCAGTGGGGTTGTGGGGTCGGATTGAACGGAGACAGACGCGTCAGACTCCGACAGATCTTGACCGCCCTCTTCTACTTCGAGTGTGGGCTGTTTGGCATCACCTCCTTGCAAAAGCCGGACGGCTATCCACCGGAGGGGAGGGATGTGATCGACACCTACTGGAGGAATTTAGACTTTCGACGACCCAAAGCGGTTGTCCTCTATTTGGCGCTGAATGCCTTGATCCTGATGTCCACAGTGAGCGGCGTCTTGCGTGCTTGGGGGTTGTCTCCCAGCCACATCTTAGCCTTAGGTGGGGTAGGAGGATTGGCCTTTGGCCTGGCCAGCCAGAACTTGGTAGGGAACTTCATGTCCGGGATCTTGCTCATTGTGAACCGACAGTTCAGCGTGGGCGACTTCATTGAGACCAATAACATCAAAGGGAAGGTGACCAAAATGGGTTGGACCTTCATAGAGATCGAGAGTGGTGATGACTTAGTGATGTTACCCAATGTCATGGTGGTGAATGCCATGATCACGCAAATCGGCCATTACTCCAGATCGTCCAAACCAGCGGCGAGTTGAAGAACGGAGAGTTACAGAGTTGAATCCGGAGGTTCCGGCCATCGATTGAAATGATCTTGATGTGACTGATGCATTGGCAAATGAACTTGTGGGAAAAAGGACGTTGCACTTGGTTTCATAGCCGTTGACATGGTTGTTTCATTTGCATTCGCGCAGAAAGCGCGCTGAAGGCTTGGCTTCGAAATGAGCAAGGAGGACCGCCTTGGACAGGTGCTGGTTGAGACTTGCAAAGGACCACCTTGGAAGAGGTTTTTGGCCATACAACAGCATACAATCCCAATTGTGCCCGATGAATATTTTTGTGATGGTTTCCTAGATCAATAGATTCCCCAGACATTTTCACGCTTTCAGGAGGAAGAGGAGATGAAGAATCATACCTTGAGCATGCTGCAGCAAGATCTCTCCCAGTTCAGCCAAGAGGAGCTCAGTCGAAGTGCTTCTCAGCTGCACCGCCCTCCAGCCGCCCAGTCGTCGACGTGTCGAACAAATTTGCCGCAGTTGAGGCCTTTGACGAGGAGTTCGACGTACGAGAGAACTGGCCCGAGTGTAAGCCCATCACCAGCCATGTTCGGTACCAGACCTGTAGCTGGGCCAACCTGTCGCGGGGAAACGGGGTGGGGTTGGGATGGGTTCACAGCTGTCAGCGCACAAGCTAGCTTGAGATGAAGACATGTAGAATGATATAGAATGATTTGACCTGCTTGAGCTGAGCACCTTCAGAGCTGAGTCACAGATCTGAGGTAACAACTGTTGGAGCCACGCCACAGCACTGATCACTGAAAGCCGACTCTGCATTCAGAGCAGGGGGCAGTTCCTCAGCTGAAGGGGGCTCGTGGCTCTCAACCATGGCTCACATGAAGAGTCATTCCCCTGCCTGCTACACCCGAAACGAAACAACACGTGATGTTTCGCTGCCCAACACTGAAACGAACCTCCTGGAGACCTCGTGTGGGTTGCCATCGCCAGACATCGCCTCAAGACCCGACCATCGCAGCTGGAGAAGACAAGAAGCTGTGGCGACCGACTGAGGTTCAATGGAGACAATGCCTGGCTGAGCCAGTCCTTCATTGCCGCCTGCAGGTCGGGCATGAGAAGAGTAAGAACGGAGCCGGGAGAAGACAGCTTGGGATGTTCAGCCACAGCTCTTGACGAAAAGCATGAGGTGACAGCTTTCTGCACTGAAAAGAGACCAGATCGCAGAATTGGGGCGTTTGTGTCGGCAGCTTCCGGGTGAAGAGGTTCTTTCGTCAGAATGCTTTTTTGCCCCTGCCAAGCAGGTTTCGGCCAAGTTAAGTTTTGCCATGTGATGAGTCACCCCGCCACCGAAGCCACGGATGCTCAGGCTTGATGGGCGTGACTACTGCATGGGAGGTTCTGGGTTGTTGGGCTTCAAGACTGTTTCAAGGCGACTCGGGCACATTGGGTCGGGGTGCTTAACCACCCACCCGCCACTGGCCCCTTCCTTGGTGGTTCCAGGTCATGCGCGAGCTTCACCCCTAAGGGCTGTGCATGAAAGGGGTTGTTTTTTGGGGGCTCTTCTTTGATGGCCGCTGCTCTGCCAACTTTGTGAAGCACTCGGAAGGGACCGCTCCCGATTTGCTACACATTTCTCCCCCATCTGCGGGTCATCGCCGAGACATGCAAAAGGTCTCGAACGGTCTTGGGGAAGAAAGGATCTTCGCAGAAATTGGCAGATGGACTCTGCCATCCACTCGCGAACGGCGGCCAGCACGCCTGAAGTTGGTCGACTTGCGATCTTCACATGGGTGTGTATACTCTCGACTAGTGACAAAGGAGTTGTAAAGCGTACCTCCCAGGCGTGAGTCGGTAGTATATGTAAAACTAGGGAGACCGACACCTCCGGCGTTCCGACCCCTGGAAGATTCGGGACCACAGACCAGTCTAGCCAAGGGCAGTCCGAACGATCTGAGGTGGGGCGTGCCCACCGGAGGGCCCGACTTCCGTGGCAACATGAAGGACGGGGAACACGCCGGGCTCGGACGGGGTTGGGCCGACGAATTGAGGGTGTAGGTTTCTATGTACGGCAGACACCTATGAATGGATTGGTAGGAGGGAGCATGATGAGCTTCGCGAGATCATACCAAACGAATGGGGAGGGCTCGCAATAGAACCAGCCCCACATCAGATTTTGCGGTCAAGCACTGCATAACTACGACTCTTCACCGAGTCACATGCTCCCTCAGTGTGCCATGCGACCCCAAACATGTGTCATGGAGATGGAAGAACTCGATCTGTCTGCGAGTGACGCGGCGGGTCTGTCTGCTCAGGCTGGCGTCGAGACCTGCTATCCACAGATCCTTCCGCACGATCGCGGCATCCATTGCCCTGGCGCCTGCTCGCCATACGTGGAATATCCCAGGACGGGGTCTTGATCTGTGAGCCAGTTCTCATCTTCACCAAAGCGACAGGTTTGGAAGTAGAGCAAGATGAGAAAGGTAGCCTCCCCCCGGGCAACACAGGAAACTGCGGCAAACCCAGCAGTTGGGTGTTGAAGAACATTCCTTGAGATGTCCATCCAATGTTAGTTTGGAGGATCAATTCGTTTCTGATCTTTTTGGGGTGGGCCTTTTGATGGGTCCAAAGTCTTTACTCGCCCTGCAGGACCTTGGACCGAGACCTTTTCTTTGCTCCGCGGTTCCAGAAGGAGACGAACGAACGAGTGAAGTGAAGAACCGGGACTCCGGAGAACCTGGTTGGAAGGGGGCAGTTTGCCCTGAGATCAAGCTGGAAAAAAATGTATATATTATCATATTCCAAATACAGCCTGTATTCCCAGATGCTAGCTAAATTTAAGCCTGCAAAGCTATGCAGGTATATATATATATATGTATAAGTACTCGTACATACGAGGTTTACTTGAGAGCTTGGTTTCATTTGAGGGCACCGGCCCCCCCGTTCCTATGGCCAAAAAGCGTTTGACATGTTGAAACGTTGAGCTTGGTTGCTGCATGCCGTTGGGAAAAACCGGAGGCGGTTCAGCACCTCTAAGGTTCAGTATGAACCCCGTGCTCTTCATCCTGTGGGAGATCAAGTTCATTACCTGGTGAAGCAGGCACAAAAAGAGCTGATAAGTCTATGTTTTCTTCTTCTATTCGGCCTGTGGGTCAGCTTTCTGGTAGGACCTGTTGTCCTGATTGGCACACGAGACACGCAATCTATCAGGCAGCATACAGGACAAGTCCCTTTTCAGGCTCAAAGATTGGAGAGGACCATTTTTTGTCCGTGGCCGGATTTCGAGGCGTTGATGCAAGATGGGCCGATTTTGCTGGGCATGAGGATCTACCAGGACTTCTATGCCTATGAGTCAGGCGCCGGACCCGGTGTGGTGGCCATCCCGTGGTTCCGTCCAATCCGCGGTTCCGATCCGCCGAGCTAGTGGGTCTCGACGAGGCATCTATCAGCCAACAAGAAAGAGCTGGAATCTCTACATGGGTGGCCATGCCGTGACAGGCGCCACTGGCCGTCGACGCGTCGGAGGGGTCGAGGGATTGTTGGTCCAAGGGTCCTTTTCGCACGAAAAGAAGGGGTGGCGAAGGGGATACCTTTTCACCTCCCTCAAGTGGTCAATCTGGTCATGATCCATGGCTTGCTTTGGTCTTCAAGTACTGGTGAAGCTCTAAAGAAACTCTATCAGTCCGATTTTGATTGGGGCGCTTACCGCTTACCTGTAGACTGTAGCCCTAGAATCCGAAGCTTTTGGTTGGAGCGATGCTGCAAAACATGGCGGGACATGTTCTTGACATCCTCCTCGGGAGTGTGAGACAGTGTCAGATATTCTCAACTGTGGAGACAAAGGACGTTTTGAAGTTCCTTCCGTCACCCCGAAACCCATTTTGTTGATGTTGATTACTAGCAACAAGTGTATCGCTATTGGTAACACAGCGCTACTAGTAACAAGGGCATCGCTATTAGGAACAAGGGCATGACTACTAGTAGAAGTCAACGCCACAAATGGCGTGCACTCTGCCCCCCCCCCAAAAAGAGCTCCAGTGAGTCACACTGCACGACATGCCGCCGGGAAGAGCACGACATGGCCAGTGGCCGGAATGTGAGGCATGGGCTTTGGGCCTGGCTACGTGCTGGCGGTCAACTCATGGAGTACCTCCTGGGGCATCAATGGAGCCTTTAAGGCCAGGCGCATTGGAGGACTCGGTGAGGAAACAGCTGGCAGAAGTGGTGGAAACAGGATGAAACCTCTGTTCCTGGTAGCTTTTTGTTACTACTAGCGATGCACCTGTTACTAGTAGCGTGGCACTTGTTACTAAGAGGTGGGTTTTGGAGGAACGTGGAGATGATTCATGATTGAAACACCACGGAAATGCCAGGAGTTGGTGTATGGCCACTCCAGCTCGGGGTTGAGCACAGTGCCCGCCGACCAAACCCCGGTCCTTAGTCTCCGTCCCGGGAATTCACCCGCGTGTGCGTGCGCGTGACCCGGACGGTAAAAACGGAAGGTTCGACGATTCGCAGCAGCTGAAGGGTTCACCAATCCCATTTTTCCCCAGATAGCGAAGCTATGGGGTTCTTACTTCAAATAACAATGAGTTGCTCGTGCGCGCTTTCGAGACAGGTTGCTGGCGCTGGTGCTGGTGCTGTGAGCTGGCTGTGCACGCGGTGGAGACAGGTTGCTGGTGCTGGTGCCGGGTGCCGGTGCTGGTGCAGGGTGCCGGGTGCCGGTGCTGGTGCTGGTGCTGTGAGCTGGCTGTGCACGTGGCGGGGGCAGGTTGCTGGTGCTGGTGCCGGGTGCCGGTGCTGGGTGCCGGGTGCCGGTGCTGGTGCTGGTGCTGTGGTGGAGACAGGTTGCTGGTGCTGGGTGCCGGGTGCCGGTGCCGGTGCTGTGAGATGGCTGCGCATGTGGTGGAGACAGGGTGCTGCTGGCTGTGCTCGTGGTGGAGACAGGGTGCCGGGCGCCGGCGCTGGGTGCTGGCTGTGTGCCTGGCCGAGAGGATTTTTGTTCCCCAGAACGGGACCATTATGGGGTTCTTTTTTTCAATGGACAATGCGCACATACTTTTGCATGTATAATGTTCTATGCGCAACGTCAGGCTCTCAACCTACCATTATTTCAGCATGTTTCAGCATGCTACACGCACAATAGTCGCGCCGGATACTGCTTGGCCTTGGGCGCCTACGGGCTTTGCCGTTTGTGCGCATACTTTTGCATGCATAAACTTATACGCGCAAGATCATACGGCCTTATCGTTCTGCAGATCGTTGCTTCAAGCATGCTACAAAGTCAATAGTGGCGCTGGATACTGCTTGGCCTTGGGCCAATGACACTTACGGGCTTTGCTGTTTGCGCGCATACTTTTGTGCGCACAAGCGCAAGATCATACGTTGTTATTGCGCAAATAGGGATAACTATGGGGTTCTTGCTGCAAATAAGAATGAGCTGGCTGCGCGCGCTTTCGAAAGGGTGTCGGTGCTGGTGCTGGTGTTGTGGTCCTGGGTGCTGGTGCTGTGGGCTGGCTGAGCGCGGGTTCAAGACGGGCTGCGGCGCTGGTCGGGTGCTGGCGCCGTTGCCGGTCCGGTGTTGTCAGCTGGCAAAGCGCACCTGTGCTGGTGTCAGCTGATTGTGCGCGCTGTGGAGGTGCCGTAAGCTGGCTGTGCAGGCTGCGTACATTGTTCCAGCCAGTCGCATGTCAACGGGACGTGGGATTCTGCCTAGCTATCTGGGTCTATGCTGGTGTAATTTTTGGGGGCTTATGATGCTTGCGTAATTTATATACTGTTGTTCCCCAGATAACTCAGTTTATAGGGGTTCTAACTTCTCCATGGTGTGGCTCTGGATCGGCGTTTTGGTTTTGCGGGTGCTGCATCCGTGCTGATGCTGGTGCAGGTGCTGGCTTTGGATCGGCGTTTTGGTTTTGCGGGTGCTGCTGCCGTGCTGATGCTGGTGCAGGTGCTGGCTGTGGATCGGCGTTTTGGTTTTGCAGGTGCTGCTGCTCTGCTGAAGCTGGTGCAAGTGTAGGTGCTGGCTGTGGCTGTGGATCAGTGTTTTAGCTTTGCGGGTGCTGCCGTGCTGATGCTGGTGCTGGTGCAGGTGTTGGCTCTGGATCGGCGTTTCGTTTAGCGGGTGCTGCTCTCGTGCTGGTGCTGGTGCTTTCGCTTTGCGGGTGCTGTTGCGGTGCTAGTGCTGGTGCTGGTCCAAGGATGACATCATGTCATGCGAGGGATGACATCATGTCATGCCCAGAATGACATCATGTCATGCCCAGGACTATACAGTATATGCACCCGCTATCTGGGGTCTCTGCCGGTGTAATTTTCAATTCGGTCTACATCCGCTTGTCCTTCCGCCTGGTGAGTTTCTTCGCCCCCGAAACGGGGTAGGACTTCTTCGTGCTCTCGTGACGACGCTCGCCGGCTCGGCCGCTCCTGCGCTCGTGCAGGTGGCACCCCAAGCCGTCGACTTCGGATTCTTCCTGCCGGGGCGACCATTGGGGACGTTTGCTGGATCCTCATATCCGATGCCCTTGCCCAGATAGATCAAACTCAATAGCGAGAGACCGAGGGACGTGAGGACGTAAAAACAGATCCAACAGGTTGCTGAACTGAAAGATCTTTGTTGATTGAACATCAGAGAACACTGAAAGCCCAAAGTTCAAAGGGTCCCACCAGCTCATGACGGCTTCTCCGAATGCTGGTGGTGTTTCATTCGGTTTCTCACGCAGCAAACACACTGAGCAATACTCAAGAAAAGAACCCTGATTTCCAGCGATGTCCAGCAGCAATGCCTGCCTTCGGCGCTGATCATTTCGAGGGGAAAAAAGACAGGATCTCGTCGGACGACGGGAGAGATGGGCCATCGTGTTTTCCGTTCGGATTCCCATCCACAGGGAGGAGACAGACAAAGGAGGAGTCAGGAGTCTGACAGGGGAGGTTCTTGACGCACTCAAGTCCATGCCCTTTCAGGGCCAGGCTCTTGATGGACCGTGTCTGTGATGGGGGTCCGGTGAGTTCTTGAATTCATGCTCTCCCAGTGCCTTTGGCTTAGAAGAGGGAGCCGAGGCAGGTGCACATGCCGCTTGGCGAGACAGATAGGGGTGGTTACCAGGAACTCATCAAGCGTCAAGCGACGGTGTTCGAGCAAATGGTCCTCCACTGGAAACGAAATGATATGACTTGGAACTCCTTTGATGACTCCTTGTTCCATTTTACCACTGCTGCTCGGGTGTTCTTCGCTACGCCGCGGCGTAGAACAAGGTCGATATGCTGCAGTCCAAAGAGTTCCAGGCGACGCAGCCGAGAACACGGAGGGCCGGGAGGGCCGCCGAGAACACGGCGCGGGGGACTGGAGGGCCTTTGTGGGAGAGAATTGGTTCTTGATTATGGGGTATGCAACGTATTGGAAGGACCAGGAGAGCCCCCAAGGACCAGTGGGAGGTCTCCCAAGATACGAGAGCCCATTGGGAGGTCTCCCTATTCAACACAAACCCATCTGCGGGTCAATTTTCATCCTTGGAAGCTTCGAAGGGTCTGCTCCTGACCCCTGGCGGCGTTTCGAGTTGAGGTGGATGACTTGGTCTATGTGCCATGTGAGGGGAAGGCCGGGTTGTCAGGGAGGGCAAGACGTCAGACCACTCCGTTTGCATCGTTTCTGATGCCACCAAGCATGTACAGGGTATTCATTCATGAATTCTTTGCAGCTAAATCATCACGCAAGTTTTTGCAGGTCAACGGTCTTTTCCATGTCCACCTACCTCCACCTACCGTCCTCTTCCCAGCCGCCCAGGCGCCCTTCCTTCGCGGACGGGTCCAAGCGCTTCGGGAGGACGAGGTCCTCGTCACTTGGACGGAAAAAAGGGGAAGAGAAGAAGTTCCGGCATTCTCATGGAGTCAGTTCATCATAGTTCATCATAGTTTGTAGACACTCAGTTGTAGACTCTCATGGAGTCGAGTCAGCTTTGATAAGATGAGAAGTTCTAGATGTTCGTTTGGTTCCTAGGTGACAAAGAGTCATTGCACTCGTCACGACTGACATGAACAGAAGTTCTAGATCTTCGTTTGGTTCCTAGGTGACAAAGAGTCATTGCACTCGTCACGACTGACATGAACATGAACTGAACATCAGTTTGACGTTCCGTTTGGATGGAGAAACATCGCTAATTCGGCGGAAGGGATTATTCGACAGCTTGAGCCATATGGCTACAATTGGCTACATAAATAGGATAATTAGAACATTTAGCCATACTAGGACTATTAGGCTGAAGGGATAACCTGCTAAACTGGGAAAGGGATATTCTGACAGATTGCAGTTTCTCAGAGGACCCCGGATTCGGCCAACGTCTGGGCTCACTGAGCCAGAGCCACTGGTTCTCTCAGACCGGATTCGGCGCAGCATGAGCAGCACGAGGACATGACATGGGTCGTAGCATCGGTGCTGTTACTCGATCTTGGCCACTTGAACCGGTCGCATGGGGCGAGGTGTTGTTCCCTCAGACCCAACGTACTGAGCTCGGTTCCCTCCATCCCGAAGAATTGGGGCACGTTCAAAACCACCTCTGTTTGGAACAGGATGGAGCCAGGCGGTCGTGACCAAACTGTTCAACTTGGGCAAACACATGCTCAAAGTTCTTCAAAACCAACCCTAGGCACGCACAACATGAACACCTATTGACACAACCGATTGTGCAAACCTTGGAAAAGTAGGTTTATCATGGACCTATTGGAAGACCAAAGACCATATTGACCCCCACCTATTGTAGTAGGTTTATCTATTGACACAACCATATTGGACCTGTTAATAGGTTGTGTCGTTTTCAAATCTTGTAGACCTTGCAGACCGCTTGACCTCTTGGACGAAGACCGCTTCCTCCGAAGCCCCGCCGAGGTCGTCCAGACCGAACACGCCACGATCACGGCGGCCTCGACCGAGCTGCGGCGGTGCTTTGATGGAGACGTGTGCCCGGGGTGCTCAGAAGGCTTCCGCGTGGTTCGGTTGGTCAGGCCGCGCGGATGCGGTTCAGGGTTCTAGCTTTGACAAGTCACCTGAGGTAGATTCTTTTGATTCAATACAAGTCCAGTCCATACGAAGAGGGCTTTTTCAATCCGAACCCAAACCTCCGGTCACGGTTCTCCTCCTCGTCAAGCCGTATCCGTATCGAGGAGAGGATCGCGGTCCGTCGTCGGGTCCGTGAGGTCAGGATAACACCTCTTTGGTGTACCTCAACGATGCGACGATCTTGCAGAACCTGAAAGCACGCCACCAGGAGCGGAGCGGCGACCCTGTTGGGGTGCGGTGCTGGAGGGTGTAGCGGAGAAGCTGGAGTCGGTACCTTTGACCCGGCGCCGAGCTCGGTTTTGCTTCTTGCAAGGGCCCGTAGCGTGTGCGACCCTTTCTTGGAGCTGGTGGTCTCGAGACCAGACGGGGTGGGAGCGGGGGAAGTAGCGTGCGACCGGTGGACGGTGTGTCGTGCGACCGTTTGATAGGCAGATGATATCTACACTTATACTGCAAGTGCCCCTTGGCTGAAGACTCTTTGTTTTGAGACACGGCAGACAGCAGAGAATAGATCTGATTGCATGCACATCATCTGCCAGCTGTGTGAACTAGGCCCAGTAATTACAAAACGATATTGGCCGAGTTTCTCGATACATTTCGATGGCAGATGATTGACCGGTCCCTGTGTATCCTGTAATTGTATCCCTTTGCAGGGTGATAGAGCTGGTGAAAGCTCCAAGAACAGGCGGCAGAGGTACGTGCCTCCATGTTTGAAGAAGGAACAACCCTAGAGGCCTAGAACCGCAGTGACTTGTTCAAGCTCTTTACGTCATCGAAGGCACCACAAAAAAGAGTGTATTGGCATCCACCAGAGAGGATTGAAAGTCTGTGTCCGGAGAACACGACGTTCTTGGGCGCCATGTTCTCCATGACGGACAGTCGCATCCGATCCGGCCACGAAGGTCTTGCTGGCGGTGAACCCTTACCATGACATCGAGGGGCTGCTGGGCATCGCGACGAGCGTCGGAAGCCGTGGGAAGCTGCCGCGAATTGACCTCAGAAATCAGTAGACACTCCACTGACCCCCAAAAGTGGTGGATGATGACTGCCAGGAGGGTTCAAATGAGTCAGCACGGAAGTTCAGTACAAAGATATGATCTACAATTACCCTTGTGCGGCCAGGTTGGATTCAGCGACACAGGCTTTCGTCTCACCCGAGGCTTTATGGCCCTGAGCAATGCGCGAGATATCGTGGGAAGCACATTGGGGCCCTGCCGCCCCATCCCTATGCCATCGCGGATGCTGCCTATCGAGCCTTGGTTCCTCGGATATGGCATTCAACAGCAAGACCGGGCCAGACCCAAAGTAGGCTCTTGATTAATGAAATTCTTCGATTTGGATTGTACAACCTCATAAAACCTCATAAAACCTGGGACTAATCAAGCGTCTACAATAACTGGTTGGTTGGTTTGAGTTTTGGGAGGCTTCGATCGATTGAACTCCCAGGTGCGCGAGCACCGGAACCAGGGCTTCATCATTTCGGGCGAGAGCGGCGCAGGGAAGACGGAGACCGCCAAGATCGCGTCTCGGACGCGAGTCCGGAAAGGAAGCAGGGAGGTATTTCCCGCTGGAGAGGGGAAGCAGAGGACTCCACCAGTCGGTGTTCTGGAGGGTTGAAGACATCCTTTTTGGATAGGGTTTTCATGGGTTTTTCTGGTACTTGTACCAGCAATAACCATCAAGCTGGCATTATAGCAGTGTATTTTGATGAAGGGAATTGGATTCGGGCTGAGGGTTTGCCACCAGAAGCGCACCCAGCGTCCAGAAAAGCAGTGACCGACCTTCACACGAGGTCATGCAATACCTTGGCTATGTCTCCGGCTCGAGCAACAACATCACAGAGCTTCGGCCGGACTTTGGACGTCATAGGAAGGGGTGGAGGGTGGAGGTCTATGATAGCTGCTAGCTTGATTCGCTCGGATGCGATCCAGCTGTCAGCAGTGCAGCTGTTTGGTCATTTTTGGCAGCGTTGAGTCAGTAGCAGACTTCGGGGAGGGGTCTGAGATTCTCAGATCCATTTCCTCTCATGCTGATGACATGTCCCCACGCGATGGGGAAGACCAGACATATCTTGCTTGGTGAGACTTGGGTGTGGACATCGATGGGGCAGCTTACCAGACCACCAAGTCCTCGAAACAGGGAGCCACCCAGCGGCTCAGGATGAGTATTCTTTGTGTCTTTTTGATGAATCATAAGGCAACACCAGAAAGCCCAGGCCAGATTGTTGTGCACATTTGCAGGAATCTTCACTCCTTTCTCTCCAAGCAGTGTCCAACATCGCCATCCACGCCCCCAGGCGCAGATCCAACAGCGCATTCTCCAAGCTCAGCCTATCCTGGAGAGCTTCGGCAATGCCGTCACCATGAGGAGACCGCTTCCGCCGTTCCGCCGGACCGTTCCGTACGGGACGGGACGGACGAGCGGTGCCACCGGGGGGGGGGTCATGAGGTGAAGGTCTTTGGAGAGGGGGTACATTCGGTACAGGTTTCAGTGGATGTGGATGTTGATGGTTGGCCGACATCCCAAGAGTCAACATGTTTGAGAAAGTGATCTGGTAAGCGGGACACTCTCTGTTTAGATATCCCTATAGAGCTCTTTTGACCTCTGTTTTGATAGGAAAAGACCAGGCCTTTCGAGTGGTAGGTGGTCACTCAGTCTCTAGGTATTCAAGAGATCAAACACCGATACAGCATGTGACGACCTCGTGCATCTGGACTCGAACACCCGACTGAGCAGTCTCAAGAAGACGTGTGTTCCATGGGGGGAACCCAGCGCATATGATATATGACTGAACTTCTGAACACCTTGCAGATCAGTACATCCCAGAACTCTGTGGTACTGACCACCCAGATACTTCTTCGCAGCCATCGGGCTGTTTGGGGGGCTGTTTGGGCAAGTGTGTTGTTCGCCAGGAATAACAACTCTTCCCGCTTCGGCAAGTACAAGCGCTTCTTCTTCGATGAGACTGGAACGTTGATGGATGCTGGCGTCCCTCGAAGATGTGATTGCATGTTGTTTGGAACAGCACCTGACCTGGTAGCAACATGAATGTTGCCTGATTTGCACTGAATGTTAGGAGTGAGTGGAAAGGGACGACAACCTGGAATCCCTGTCTTCAGCCATGTGGAGTTGGAACCTGGGGAGACATTCCTCATCAAAACACGTGTATTTTGCTCACTTTGGATTGCACATTGCACAAAACCAGGGACCTCACGACTTTGGGTTGATGTAGTCAAAGCGCACATGGCATGCCTGTTTCATTTGTACTATTTTGATCTATTTTGTATTCAATTAAAGCTCATGACTTGCTTGATCATACCAAAGTACCCCTCTTCCAAGACCTCAAAGATGCCTCATTTGGGGCCACCGTCAGTCATCAGGTGACCACCTATCTTCTGGAAAGCTCACGGGTCGTGATGCACAGCAGCTCCGAACGGACCTACCATTGCTTCTATGCCTCTTGGGTGTACAGAAGAATGAGAAACCTGAGCAAGATGAGCAATATGAGAGCAAAATGAGAAACCTGTCATGCCACATTGGAGCTTCGTTTTTTGGGGTGTTTGGTGTCTACATCAACCACGCTCCTGGCGCTCAGCTGTTGGCATCCCGACCTCTTGGGCGCCGTCCAAGCTCTGTGCGCCGTGACTGCAACCCCTCCTCCTGGGTCGGACCGGCCGAGATCTGAGGAGATGCTGAGTGGTCTTCCGAAGGAGAAGCTACTGAGATGGCACCTGGAACCCACGAAGCGGAAGCGGCACCTTCTCCTGGCCAGCGATGCCGAGGAGATGGATGAAACCGTCTTTTTTTCTCCCCCAAAACAGTTTGATCACAGTTGGGGGGTTCTTACAGTAGGTGTTGCTCGCCTCTTCGAAGTGCAGGCTCGCAGGCTCGCAGGCTCGACTCGGTGGCGTGAAAAACTTCAAACGCTTGCACTTGTCCACCTGGGTCGCTCCTTTGTGTTTGCTCTCCCGTGTTTTGGCACACACACACACACATTCCTACAAATACAGTAATGCTTTTGTATGTGCGCTCTCGTGTGTGCGCTCACGCATGCTTGTACTTTCACACGTGTACTCTCATATCGGTGCTTACATATGCGTACTTTCATTTGTGCTCTTTCGTTGGTGTGCTCTCATGTGCGCACTCTCATATGTATGTTTTCATATGTGTGCTCTTGTGTGCGTACTCTCCTATGCTCTCACGTGTGTGCTCTCGTATGTGTTCTGTCGTATGTGTGCTTGTGTGCTTTCACATGCATGTCTTCAGAGGTGTCATTTCACGATTGTGATCTCATGCATGAATACTGCAAACTTGCTCATGCCTGTGCTCAGTGCTCTATCGTGTGTGCTCTCCTGTGTGTGCTGTTACGTATGCTCTCCTGTCTGCGCTTTTGTATGTTTGCACTTATGTTCGTCCTTTCGTGTATACAAATTATGTGTACCCTCCTGCCCGTGCTTTCTATATGCACCCTTGGCCGCTCATAAGTGTGGTATGCGTTGCGGTGGTTTCACCCTAGTAAACTCAATGCTTTTGGAAATCCACAGGAAGACTATGTTGGAAAATCTCGAGCAACAAGACTGCACAGCTCAGCTCCCACGAACTTGCCAGGCATACACTTGATCAAACCCGGTCCTCACCACTTCTACTGCGCCCGTGTTTCCTTCCAATGTGTTCATGTCATTACGGCCTTAACTCCTTACATGTCTTGCCCAAGGCTGTTGAACTTGCTCTGTCTCTGCGCCTGCTGGCTCGCTCCCGCTCCGGGAGGCGCAGTCCTGGACGGAACTTCGCCCGCGGCTGCGCGGGCACCACGGACGGACCCTGACAGCACGGTGCGAACGATCCTCGTGCCGTCACAGGCTGCACCGCGGCTAGGCAGTCCGCGCAGTGCTCGCAGGTCCTCTCCTTTTCGTCCTGTGCGCGGTTCGGCCGATCGCCTGCAGCTCCGAACGCCCGACCTCCAATTCCGTCGACCCGTAGAGCTGCGCCTGGACGCCTTCGATGGACGCCTTCGATGGAAAAGAGTCAGAGTTCTCTGCATGGTCTGCGACCACTCTCACGTGGTAATGTTGGATTCGACTCTGGTGCAGTTTTCTCATCCATCACTGGTGACCAGATCAGTTGCTGCACTTTTTTTCTCTGGTCACACCACAGATCCGAGAGCGTGCACATGGTCCGCATTGGTCCGTAGCCTTGCCTTGCGCGCGGAGCTTTTCCGCAGACATCCTGACGGACCACCCAACGCAGTACTTGACACTCCTGATGGTCGCGGTTTCTGGTTGGGCAGTCCTTTTTTTGCAATCAGTATAATGGGACGGCTGGCTCTTGGGCCGTTTTTTGCTTTGCTTGGGGGTGCACCGTTGGCACGGTAAGAAAGAAGAAGGTGGGAAGAAGTCCATTTGCTTTCCACCCTCGGTCACTTTGCAAGGACACGGATGAGAAGTGGCACGGTGAGTTCCAGGAGTTGTGAGCGTCCTGGGTCTTGGGGCGGCCAAAAATTGACCGATCCAGAAGGATTTCGTCGTGCCCTAGCAGACCCAGCATATTCCCCATGCCAGTGCAGATGTGCAAGTCTTCATTCAACCTTGAAACAAGGGCTAAGGGCCCAGACACAAAAACAACCAACACTCACTGGTCACAGGTCGTCCGCTACAAGATTTCCAGGTGTTTTGCTGTGCGTTGAGTGCCAGCGCCACTTTGCGGTCTCGCTCGTGGAACGCCTTCCTTCGAGGAGAGAGATGCGAAGAACTTCCGACGTTTGTGTGATGCCTTGGCGGTGGTAGGCTTCAGCCAAGACGACATGGATTCCACCTTCCAGGCCATTGATCGAATCAGTTGAAAACGCGTGAAACGGGTATGGCCTATGGGTTGAACTGGGTATGGGAGCCTTTGTTCTCGATGTCAAAATGTCATGTTCGAAAGGATGAGGTGTTGTATGGAACTGGAGATTGAACAACAGCCATGCGAATCAGTGCACGTTCCATGGAACAAAGATCTGACATATGCTGGTTCCTTGAATCCTTGAAACCTTTGCCTAAAAACAGGTCTCCTCATGACCTTTTTGCAGCATCATATTCCCACTTGAACACTTATGGGCGGTTTCTTGTTTGAGGTGCTTGCTGGACTGGTGCACCTGGGGGATCTGTCTTTAGCTGAGAGAGACGAAGGCGGGGTTTCGATCGGGGCGAGTTCCATGGTGACTCCTTCAAGCGCTATTGGGAGCTGTATTTCTTGCCCAGCCTGCAGGCTTTGATGATTGCCTCGAAAAGAAGGCCTCTTCCAACTCTTCTGCCTAGTCACTTGAGTTTGTTTGCACCTGGATGGTTCAAATTCACTCGGGCTCTTTATGTACCTGGGACATCCTGGGACAAGCAAAATGAAGAATGGGGTGCCTCCTACATGTCCTACAGAGTAGACTTAGGCCTTGTCAGTTGGGCTTCCATTCCCTTGTCCAAAGGACACGAAACGACACCCAGAGATGATGAGGTGCAGGAGGTGGCAAGCCAAACAGATTGTGAGACCCCTCCTCTCTTCTCTCTCGAACTTGCGAAGATGAACTGCAGAGGGACGACCGGACACCTTTCTCTGGCCCCTTTCCTCCCGCCGCTGCCGCCGCGGGGAAGCGGAGGCGATGAAACGTCCACGGTGCAACTGGACGAAGAGATCTTGGCCAAGGCGGGATGGTGCAGCGGGGCGGCACCTGCCGCGCAGGTGCCTTCGGTACGACGCCGGTACGTCGCTTTCTTGGGGGTCGACCGGTTTCATTGGGTGCGGAAGACAGGCCTTCCTTCCCAACCTCCACCTCTCCAACTGCGGGACGGTCGCACGAGGCAGCTGGTCTCTTGGGGATGGATGCCACCGAGCTAGCGGGAGCCCTTCGCCGGCGGAAGGTGCGGGTGACGCACCCGGGGCGCGAGTCCTTGCACGAGGTGCCCGGGGGTGCCGAGTCCGCGGACAGACGGGGGAGGAGGGGAGACGGGACAAATAGCCGAGGTGCCAGTGATGGAAGAAGGAAGAGGTGCCAGTTATATCCAGTTATATCCAGTTGAACATGTAGAGACTGGACTCCTCAGTATGTCTATAGAAAGAATGCCTTCCACTGCTTTTCCTTCAGCTCCTTGAGCATTCCGCGGAACAAAGAAGACGCAGCGACTCTTCGTGCGTGCGTGGCACCACCTTCACCTTCGCCGTCCAGGTGCCACGGACCACGGCGCAATTCCGACATGCTCTTCACAGTCTCATCAAGGCCCTGTACAAGCGCCTCTTCGAACGCTTGGTCTTCCGCATCAACGGTCCCTGGGCGCTTCGACGCGGACCGGTCGCGCGACGCGCGAAGCGAAGCGCGACGGTTCGGACGCGCCCGCGGAGGGCCGGGACCGGTTGAGGTTCCTTTCAAGAGTTGCAAGCGGCTCGCGGTCATTGCGAGGAGGCGGGGCTGGCCATGGGTGTTCTGGGGCGAATGGGGAAGGAGTGCCCTGAACCAGCAAAAAGGTGCGTCGTGTTGAAGCTTTGACTGCGAGGTATACGGGGACCGTAAGTGATTCCAAATGGATGAGTGTCTAGACTCCGGCAGCTCTTCTGCAGCTCTCCAGAGTGTCTCACTTGACCAAGATCGCAGGAATAGAACATGAAACATCATGGGAGCATCCAAGATTTGATCCGATCCATGATCACCATGATCAGTGGTCCTATGGATTCTTCATTCAATGGTCCCCTGGATCATGGTCACCAGTAGTCGTGATCATTCATTTTCCTGCAGGAAGTAGTCATCCTGCAGGAGGCAGCACGATTGATCGATCGTTATCGCAGGAACTCCGGGAGATTGGCATCCTGGACATCTATGGCTTCGAACGGCTTCAGCGTCTGCTGCCTTCGAACGCGAGCGAACGGGCACTCGCGAACGAGTGGAGCATCGAAACGCGTTGGTTTGAGAGTTCCAACCTACAAGAACCGGTTTGTAGGGCACAGTTTTCGTATCTTCCGCCTAGGGGCGATTCTGACGTGTTGCTTGGTAAACTGCTGGTGATGGACTTACAGTGGTTTCGAGGAAACTCCTTTGAGCAACTCTGCATCAATTTGGCCAACGAGCGTCTCCAGCAGTACTTTGTGGAGAGCCTTGCCAACAAGACAGGAGAGCACAACACGATCCACTAGAGGTGCATGTCCAAAGGGCCTCCTCTTTATGACCCGAACTGGCTAGACTGGCTGGCTAGACTGGTCGATTTCCCGAACCTTCCAGAGGGGTCGGAACGCCGGCGGTGTCGGTCTCCCTATTTTTGCATACACACCTATAAATGGGATTTGAGGACTCCGAATGATCCTGAAGATGCAGAGCTCTACTTCGCAGGTGGACCTATCTTGCTTTCAGAGCCGATCTGGCTTTCACTGGCCGATCAGGTCCAGCTTTCCTCTTCTGCAGATCGCCTTAGCTCAGGTGTGTTGGCATCAGCTGTGTTGGGGAACCCCCCCTCACTGGGTTGCTGCTCAGGAACGTCCTCGTGGCCGAAGAGGCACTCTACCGCCGTGAGGGCTTGCCATGGTACGGCCTGCAGCTTCCAGATTCCACACCTGCCACTGTGATCCCAGGGGTGGAGAGGAGAGAGTGTGTGGAGAGCGTGGAGAGTACGTGGCAAAATATGATCAAGGTGTCCATTCAGGCGTGGGTCTCCTGAAAAGTAAAAAGCACACTTTGGCTGAGTGACATCTGCGGAATCTATCCGGTGTTGGATCGAATCTATTGAATCTACTGCGGTTCGATTGAACCTACACCGGCCAGTCCCTCCGCGACCCGGTCGCGCCACGAGCTGGGGGGAAGTTCGACCCCGAAATCGACCAGGACGGGACCATGGGCCGCAGGGCCGCAGACGTGGGTCCATATCTCCGGTCCTTCTTGGATGGGTCCAATATGTCGGGTCTCTCCATGTCTCTCCTGTAAACAATTATCATCATTTTTGAACAAGGCCTACGACTGAACCATCATCATCCACTGTTACAGGTAATAGGACAGACCCAACCAATATATTTTATTTTTTGCTTTTTAGATGCATGGAAAAAAATGTTTGCCATGTCGACAGATCTTGAGATATCGGCAGATAGATATAGGTATATATACATATTAATGTTTCATAATGTTTCACAGACCATTCTGTTTGGGTATGACCACTATGTCTAGGATGTCCACTCCTGTCCTACCCTGCTTGGTAGAAGAATGCCCCCAAGCTGCAGTTAGTTGATTGTTGAACTCTCTTGAAGAGTACAGACATGATCCTTCTGATATTCTGTGGGTCAAAATGGTCAGTCTTCGTCAGTTTTCCCTGTTAAGAGCCACCAAGAACCGAATTCCATACACCCATGGGCCGCCCCACAGCTCCGCAGCTCCGTCGCAGCGACACCGAGGTAGTGTCGGCCATTTCTCAGACCTTCCGAATTCTGGATGAGTGCAGTCAACAGCTGGCCAAAGGCCGGAAATGAAGCCGGTGTTTCCATGGAAGGGGACACGCTTGTCTATTTTTTTTGGTTCATGTTTACATAATGGTTTGTCATTGTGGGGTGCATGCTTTAGTCCGCTTATTTTTAGATGCTCAGCTTTCTTTCTCATCAAATACATGGTTCCCCCTTTTTCGGACAACAGTTTAACGGCAAACAGGCCTTCGTGTCACAAACACCTGCACAGTGCAATGGGTCCTCAAGTTTTCGCAGTCAACTCAATCAGCTCTTGCCCCAAACGTTCAACGCGTGCATCGTCGCATGATCGCGCTGAACCTTCCGGCCTCCGCACCAAACGACGAAACCGACGAAGCCGAAGAGGTGAAGTTCAAAGCGCCAAGCTCGGACGTTGAACAGCCCCACCAAATCTGCAACCAACCCTGAAAAGTCTGCGCCCAATCGCCCCTGGCGTTTGAATGGCCCTGCAAAATGGCCGCAAAACGACATCAATTGTGGGTTCTGAAGAGGAGACTGGTAGTTAGGATCACGTGGAACACCCTGTTTCCTTATGGGATTATTCAACAAACATCTAATGGATTATTTGAATCAATCAGGGATGTCCTCATTGGTCGATCTGTCTGAGCAAAAGAGGACCTTCATGGAGTTTCTGAACAGTGCGGATAGGACAGATTGAAAAAGAAGGGTGTTGTCAGGAGTACAGGGTCACAACACATCTCTTCTCAGGCCCCTTGAATAGAAGGACTCGGTTTTCCACTTCCATGATTTCAGGGGGTGAGTGGCCCTTCTGCCAGTTGTACCACCCTGCAAGAAGGGGATTGGAAAACTAGGGCAGACATGGGCTAAGCATGGCTAAGCATCCTTATGACCAGGATGGTTTTTGTACATCTTTGTGCAATTGTGACTGGGTCTCTTCAGCTTTCAGCTCCTGCCTTACACTCATGCCTCGGTGCCTCGCTCGGCCTGACCGATGAAGCGATGAGAGGCTTCGAAAAGACCGATGAGAGCTTTTGCCAGAAGACCGTGGATGAGGCTCAAAAGGACGGATCTCTTTCCAGCTGCCGAGAACCACCGACGCTTCTGCTGACTGGGACTGCCGCCCAGCGACGCTGACGCAGTTCCCCCCTCCGGTGCCGATCGAAAGACCATCGGATCCCACAGGGTGCCCCGTGCCGGCTGCCCTCATGTGCGCCGTGGTCGTGCACAACTGTCCAGCACATGTCACTGCACGACTTGCCTGAAAAGGTCCCAACGTGTCCTTTTCCGTATGCTGTATCTGGTACAGCCTTCGGATCAATTCCATGTTGACCTCGTCTTCCCCTTCGTCTTCGCTTCCATCGACCACTTGACCGGCCGCTTCGCGAGCTAGGCGTCGGTCCCGCCACCGGTCGAGGACCCCGAGCGCCGGGAGCTGCTGCGCGCGCCACGGACCTCCAAAAAGCGACCGACGCTGATGAACGAGGCCTGGGAGCTGACCGATGCACGGTTTGACGCTGAGCCGACCGACGACGGCGGGTGGCGTGGCTGTTGGAGAGCGAGCCGCGGTGGTGTTCCCTTGGTGATCTGGAGCAGAATGGTTCCTTGTGTTGTTGAGAATGATGGGAAAGTGAATCTTGACTCTTCATAGAATGATCCCCCTACCAGAGGAAACCTTTGGAGAACCTTTTCGGCTCAGTTGCTGTTGTTTGGCTGTAAGGAATTGGTTGGATCATGTGTTGTGCTCTGTGCCTGACTGTACGCTTCGTGCCACAAGACATGAGTGTTGGAGGTGCCAGCGCTCCGGGCTACGAAATCCACATGAGCATGGGTTTTAAGACGTCATGTTCTGCCTCCGTTCAAGCAAAACGGTTGTTTTGAACATCCACTGTAACATCCACATGAGCATTCCTGGTTCTCATCCGTGCGACCGCGCCGACACGAGTGTCGGCAGGGCTTCGTGGTGAAGCACTATGCTGGGCAGGTGGAGTACAGCACGAAGGGCTGGTTGGATAAGAGCCTTCGCGGAGTGGCGCTCGATCGGACGATGGAGGGTGCTCGGCTAGGGGCGGCTAGGGCAGGTGGCCGAGCATCGGTTTATAGTTATCTCTTGGTTTTTGGGGTCTACTATAGCTATCGGGTTTTATATATCGGGGATGTATGGTCTATTGGTCAAGAAGCAACAGCAAGTTCTTGCGCGATTTGCAAGGAACAATGACCGCCTGCTGCCTGAATGCGAAGAGCTCATTTGCATGCTGGCCGCACTGAGCAGCACTGAGCCGCACGAGGTGAAGAAAGGTTATCTAGGCATAAAACCTGGAGTGATTGGATGAGTGATTTGGGAGGAATTTGAGATGCGTGACGTTGGGCCCTTATATTGTAAGTGAACAGTGCAAACATCACTTGGCCAGTAATAGTAGACGTTCTTTTTTCCCGAATGCGTAGCGAAGGGTTCTCGTTTAACTCTTGGGGGTCTGGGGGTAGAGCTTTGTTCGCGACCCGTTGCTTCGATGTTCGCAACCGTTGGCAACCGTCCGCAGTAGAGCGCTAAGGCGCTGCCATTGGGGGAAGCTTTTGCAAGTGACTTTTCATGGATGTGTCACGTGTCAGTTTGCGACGCTATTCCATTGTGATTTGCATGAAAATGACATGTCGCGCAAGAAGCGTGATGCATTTCGCTGCACAGGCGCAGCGTTTTGTGAGATCCTCAGTTTGCTACGCAGTTCCATTGGGATTAGCGTTTGGAGAGTCGTGTTTTTGGGGTGTTGGATGTGGCCGTGCCATTGGGATTTGCGTTTCAGGGTGTGGCATCGAAGCTCTGTTTTCGTGACAAGTCCCAGCTGAAATGGCGATTTTGGTGGATGGGAGTGTGCTCAGAACGGATCGAAGTCATTCCAAACGTGTGGTGTGGTGCAAATTTTGTTGAAGCTCACATGAGATGATATTGTCACTTTTCGCGGCAGGCGCAGTACTTTGTGCGGGTTTTGAGGCATGGAAGTGTGATTTTCGTGGCAGGCGCAGGGAATCGTGAGGTTGCGAGGTGTGACGGAGGTGACATTGCGTGGCAGGCGCAGTACTTTGTGCGCGTTAGACGTGTGGACGCGGAAAGATGCGTGGCAGGCGCAGGGAATCGTGAGGTTGTGAGTTGTGGTAGAGGTGACTGTCGTTGTCTCATTGGGATTGGCGTGTGGGCGGGTGTTGTTTGGAGGGGCTGGAATCGCGAAACTGGTTGGCAGGGCTGCGTGATGTGTGTGCTCCGATGGGTGTTTCCGCTTGACTTTTGGAGGAAGTCTCGTACGAAACGCTCGTTTTGGAGACTTTGACACGTGCGTTTTTGAGGAAGTCTCGTACGAAACGCTCGTTTTGGAGAGTTGACACGTGACTTTTGGAGGAAGTCTCGTACGAAACGCTCGTTTTGGAGACTTGACGTGTGACTTTTGGAGGAGGTCTCGTACGAAACGCTCCGTTTTGGAGACTTGACGCGTGACTTTAGGAGGAAGTCTCGTACGAAACGCTCGTCTTGCAGCCTCGAAGCGTGACTTTTGGAGGAAGTCTCGTACGAAACGCTCGCGTGACTGCTTCTAGTGTGTGGGCAGACCGTGTCGCGACACGAGTGTCCCACAAGAGTGTCCCACAAGAGTGTTCCACAAGAGTGTCCCGCAACCGTGTCCCACAAGAGTGTCCCAGAAGAGTGTCCCGCAAGAGTGTCCTACAAGAGTGTCCCGAAACAGTGCCCCGCAAGAGTTTCCTACAACAGTGACCCACAAGAGTGTCCTACAAGATTGTCCCACAAGAGTTTTCCACAACAGTGGCCTATATGAGTGTCCCACAAGAGTGTCCTACAAGAGTTTCCTACAAGAGTGACCCACAAGAGTGTCCTATAAGAGTGCCCCACAAGAGTGTCTTACAAGAGTGTCCCACAAGAGTTTCCTACAAGAGTGTCCTATAACAGTGTCCCACAAGAGTGTCTCACAAGAGTGTCCCACAAGAGTGTCCTACAAGAGTGTCCCACAATAGTGTCTCACAAGAGTGTCCCACAAGAGTGTCCTACAAGAATGTCCCACAAGAGTGTCCCAGAAGAGTGTCCCACAAGAGTGTCCTACAAGAGTGTCCCACAAGAGTTTCCTACAAGAGTGTCCTATAAGAGTGTCCCACAAGAGTGTCCCACAAGAGTGTCTCACAAGAGTGTCCCACAAGAGTGTCCCACAACAGTGTCTCACAAGAGTGTCCCACAAGAGTGTCCTACAAGAGTGTCCCACAAGAGTGTCCTACAAGAGTGTCCCACAATAGTGTCTCACAAGAGTGTCCCACAAGAGTGTCCTACAAGAATGTCCCACAAGAGTGTCCTACAAGAGCGTCCCACAAGAGTGTTCCACAAGAGTGTCTTCTAAGAGTGTCCCACAAGAGTGTCCTACAAGAGTGTCCTAATGACATGACCTATAGGATAGTTTTGCTCACTTCCGTTGTGTGTGTGTCTCATATACTTCTTGTTGATGCAGGTGAAACACAACAACGCACGGTCTTGCACTCCTATTTACAAGAAGATCAGACGCCGCAGTTGTGGATTTCTCTGTATTATGTGGACGGTTATCATTTTCAAGCGCTTGTTTTCGAGATTTTGGGACAATGCCATTGTTTCTTTCGTGATGTGGATCTGCCAGAACCTTTACGCCAGTGCTTGACTTGAATGCAAAACGAAGACCCTTCATGACGAAGACGGAGCTTGGTGGTGAAGTCCCCAGCGCGTGCTGCCTTGGTGGTGGAGTCCCCAGCGCACGATGTCCAACCGCGTGCCGGAGCGTGAAAAAGAGATTCTCACCGGCTGTGTCTCTGTCTATACACAGTGGATTGACGGAAAGTGACTCCAGCAACAAAAAATCCTTATGTTTACGTGAGTTTGACGGCATGAGTGAGACTAGACATGCAAGACAAGGCATGCGGAAGTATTGTTATGATGGCAGAGCTGTTTGCAAGAGTCAGGAGAGCACTAGCAGGCGAGTGATTGACATGGTCACGTCGAGCACGAACGCGTAGCGAAGGTTCAAGTGTTCGAGCAGACGCGATTGCACGACGTGTAAGTACTAGCAATGACGCGAATACAGAGCGTTGTGGTTTCTGGTGAGCACTAGACGAAGCGTTTTTGCTGCCCCGCACGAAGCATCACACTAGAAACACTGCGCATGAATCAGAAGACGGTTGCATTTTGGACGCGTTTAAAATAGAAAACATTGGTAACCCAAATAATGTCACTTAGAGTTTGTGCATACAGGGTGGAGTGTGTAGAGAGCATATCCCTGAGCTTGGTGGTGGAGTCCCCGGTGTAGGGGAGCGCGATGTCGCGAAGAGGACGTGCGTCCACACGACCTCGGACGTTGTGGGCAGATGACAAAAGAAGGAAGGGTTCGTGGCGAGTGAGGTTGACCTTACTACATGTGCTACTGATGCTGGGGTGTTGCTGGTCTATTCTTCTACCTATGACGACCTGGTGGGCGATCCTTGGTATGATATTGATACCTAGCACACTGCGATGCGTAGAGCTGCAACACGGGACCTTGCTACCGCGGCCAAAGGTGTTGCTGGTGGAGTTCGCGCAACGGTTCCCTTATCATTGCATTGGATTCTCAGACATGGGTGACATGATGGCGCCTAGACTTTGATCAATTATTTGAGTGCACTAGAGAGATAATATTGTTTTACATAAACCCACGTGGTCGACCACTAGATTTGTCATGCATACTCCAGCGGAACCAAGGCGTTGTTGGGCGTATGTTTTTGCTGGGCCTGGTGCATGGGATTGCACGCCGAGACCCTCCGAAGCTGTCGAATTTACACACTCTTGTTGATCGGATGTGTATCGCATTCTTGGAAGCTGACGTGGCAGTCTCCTGTCTTGTATATCCTCCTATTTTCTTCATTTCTATTTCCAATATTTCCTCCAAAGAAGAAATCGCATGTCGAGAAAGCAGAGAGTGCCTGCGCAGAGTTGGATGAGTTCATACGAGTACACGGAGAAATACCGTCGCAGCTGTCGGACTTAACCCAGAGTCGGGCAATCTATTCTAGATTGAGACGGCTGAAACTTTTGCACTTGCTGAAGCAAGAAGAGTCTCACGTAGCAATTTGTAAAGCCACAGACACATTTTTCCAGAAGCATTCGCGGCTACCGAAACGACAGAACCCAGCCACGGATGAGCAACGAGCAGAGGACGCCTTAGCTCGACGCTGGGATCGCCTGTTGACACAGAGAACCTCGCTGCCCAACGAGATCCAAGAGAGATACAGAGACTTGTTTGATTCTGCTGATATGGCAGACACAGATGCTATTTTTGTTTTTTGCTTGAGCGTGCAACATTTTTTCAACACTGCTGGTAGGCTGCCACGGAGACAGGCAGTGAACGATCAGCAACAGCATGAAGAAGATCGCTTGGCATGGCGCTGGCATCGACTGCTTGAGAGGCACGACTGGCTGCAGGTGGTGAAGTCTCCGCGGCTAGAGGTGGAATTGTTGCAGGTGGTGCAGTCCCCGCAATCAGAAGAATTGAGACGCATGTTGACTGATCTACTGACAGTGCAGCACAGAGATGATGTTCTTCGAGGCCGGGTCTCTCCTCACACATGTGTTGATAATTTGTTGTGATGTTAGACTGTTTCGATTTGTCGCATAGGCCGAAATCTGTGTTGTATAACATTTCCAGAGCATTCTAAATCCATATGACCATATGGCGTAGGCGTGGAGCACACCCTACAGCAAGTACGTTCCTACGTGGAAGAGCAGAAGACATGGCCTTCGCGTGGTCCGAACGCATGTGCGGACGCGCTGGCTCAATCATGGCATCGCTTGCTGTCGCAAGCGCACACGTTGGACCAAGCTTTGAGAGATTCTTATTCAGACTTGTTCACTGCGTGGTGCGCAAAGGAACGTTGGGAAGCCGCCCGCACAGTCGGTTTCCACCAGTTTTTCAGAGGCAAACAGCTGATGGAAGTTATCGCTGAGTGTGCGTTGCTGAGAAGCGAGGATGTACAAAGATACATTGGTTCGAAGCTCAACGATTTTCGAGCGACTTGCTTAGACGTTGTGATGGACATCTGTGATGGACGCACGAGCAGGACAGAGTTTGAGATGTTAGACATCGACGAAGCGTCGGAGACCGTCGATATAGAGCTGCTGGAGTCTCTGCGATTTGACTCGACCCAAGTCCTGCTTTCCAAGGTGCATTCTTTCATAATGGAGCATGATCGATGGCCGAGCA